AAATTAAGATGATAGTTATTTATTACATAAGACACTTTGTTGGAACAATACTTTACAATTATCAAAATAATAATATAATATTTTATGTGATTATATTATAGGAGATACCTGTTTATGGACATAGCAATCTCACACTGTAAAGTAAGATGTACGTATTTTAACTTATCATTAATTATTTAAGAATATCAAAACAGATTGCATGCTACTTTTTTGTAATTAAATAAAAAGATAAATAGAGTTAAAACTTACTCTAGACCTTTGAAATGCAGTTTCAATTTCAGAAACCTCGCACTATCTGGAAAGATCAATCTTAAAATTCATATGCATCGATGTAGTTCGCAAAAAAAAGGATAAGCGTCAATTTTGCTAGATTGTAAACATATTTGCCTAAAACACAAAAAGGTCCGTATTATTCTCAGAAAAAAAATTGTCAAGGTATGTGGTAAAAATGAGAAAAATAATTATAATAAGTTAAAAATAAACACCATAATAAATAAATGAAAGGAATAAAATAAAAATGTAAACTGCTTAATACAAGTCAGAAGATAACAATAAAATTGCATTTGTTATGAATTTGATTACATTGAAGGCTTGAATTCCAAACATCGTTTTCCATAACTATTATTAAATCTAAAAATTCTAAAACGATAATTCTGGAATTAAATCGATTTATATAAAACAATTATCTATCATGTCCGAAAAAAAGAAAGCAACAATAAAAAGTCAAGTAAAGAGTGTACCTTGTCGTTGTCTAGTTTTCTTCGATCGAAATTATGTCTGCTTTGCCCAAGTTACTGTCTACGCAGATTCCCTAACAATATCTAATAGGTATTAAAATGATAGTTTTTAAAGTATCTGTTATGTTATCTCAAAATATTTAATTTATCTACAGGTCAAAGGTAATTAAGTAAATCAGATGATATGTATAAAGTTATAATAGATATAATAGTGACATCAGTGTCAGATGTTTTGAATAATTTCAATGCAGATGTAAATTACCTTGTAGGGGTTACATGTTTGGCATGATTTAATTAATTTATCATAAAATTATATTCTGTCCTTTATAGACCTTTGCTGTTGAATTTTTATAATGTAATTCTGGAAAGGGAAGATCCTTTGAGAGCAATAAAAGCAAAAGCTAATAGTTAAAAGCTGCAAAATTCGTTTTCATTGAGTTTGTTACAGAGAGATAATAGAGAAATGGAGACCAAAACTTCTTTCAAGCCCCTATTCATTGGGTGAACACCTTTAATAATCGAAATACATTATCTTCGTCAAATTTCGCTTTCTATGTAAAACAGATAAATAAGTAACTGATTTCCAACTAATCCTACAATCATATGACTTTCTATGTAAAGGGATAGTACTGAACCAAATTAATGACAAGCTACATGTAATATTACATATATTAAGATTAAGTACTAAGTGAAGTATTTTGTAAAAATGTTAATAAATAGTATAACCTGATTTAAAAAAATGTTACGTAATTAATTTAATTTTAATTCTTTATTCATTTGAGAACATTCTTTAATATGAATATAAACAACATTACCAATAAACCTCTTAATCTCATATAGACGTGTTTTGATGACTTTTCGCCCCCCCCCCCTCCTTTCAGGAATCAAACAGTGTAAATATGCTCTAGTTAGGCCCCAACCACTGTTTTAGTTTCAGAAATGATGATAAAAAGTTATCACTTTTTCGGCGGCGCCCCCTATTAAAAATGTACATCAAGGGGTTGCCAGAAGGGAGATTTTTAGGTAACGTGTTACCAACGCTGATAAATATTTCACTCTATCTCAATCTATTGAGAAGTTGCAGAACTTTGAAAACAGTTTTGATGAAAAAAAAAAACAATGCAAAAAGGTGATTTTGGCAATTTTAAGATGTCCCCCGTTGCCATGGTTACAGGAATTTTAATATTGAGCATGGTGTTACAGAAGAGGCTATGGTCCAGTGAACATTTATGCCAAATTTCATTTAAGTATTAAGGCATTGTGCATAGTTTCATAGCTGTTTGAACTTGTAACAGGATGCTTTTCAGTGAAAACGCCCATTTTTCACAAAATGCTCATGAAGTAAAGGGTTAATTAAAAAAAATGCCACGAAACATTATTTTGTCACCAAAATTATGTAAGAGACAACATGTAAACATGGAAAATCTAGATTTTGGGTGATTCCAAGGTTTTTCATCATTTTTACAATAAGGGCTATCAAATTTATGTAACAAGCAATAATATTACAAATTCAAATTCACAAAAATTTGATACAATTTTAATACTAAATAAGTATTATGCTTTTTGAGATATTACCAAAATATAATTACGAGAGGGCAAACTTTGTAAAACAATAATAAAAAAATATTTTCCCGTTCTTTATGCATGATTTACATTAATACGTATTGCTATATTCTTAATATCAGTTGACTTGTCCATCATTTTGGACCGGAGATTTACTTCTTCAACAAATAAGAGAGAATAGATTATTTGATTTTGGTTTGTCTTTTTATTGACAGTTTTGTCTTTTGAAGTATTGTCTGTTATATGTAGGCTTCATAACCTCAGAACCCTTTTCAAATTTCACTTTATTTAGTTCCGCTAATTGTTTTCTCGCTAACGGCACACGCATTCCTTTGCTTGGGGCCATACACCGCTTTTCATGGAATTGCACTACCGTGACATATTAAATTTTAAGGTTCCATAATAACCACCATATGTACACATCTGCGGAGGTTTCTAAATTCAAAACGAACGCATGATAAATAATTAATTTGTATGGCATCCTATTGACTTTACCAACTTTGCCATTGAGGCCTTTCAAATTGTTGTTCTTACCTTGAATCATATTCGCTTCTAAATACCCTGTTTTACCTATTCAGAGAAAGGTTGTAAACTTTTGTATACACAAAAATGAAACGTCACTCTCACATTATCATAGCGGCACAGTACTATGTTAAACAATAAGTTACTAAACGAAAATATACAAAATTTATGATCCCTGTCAGTCTTTACACCAAAAAATGACTATCAATCTCTAACTTGTCTGCATAAGCCAATTTTGGGTGGTATCCTTTTAATTATTATTATTTTTTTAATAAATTACTAAGTATAATTAAAAAGTACTGTCAATTGTTGTTTTTATACAATTTTGGGGTCCTACCGTTTTGGTCCACGTTTTTTATCAATTTAACAAAACAAAAAAAAACCCCAATTTTTTCTTTTCCCGGCCTGATAAATAAATAATACTTATCTCAATTGATTGGTTGTCCATCTACGAGTACCAGGCACTACTTGCCAAATTTCGAAAGTACATGTTTTTTTTTGTTTTTTTTTTTGTTTTGATGAAATATTATAAAAAAAATAAACAATGAAAGGATTTATAACTGTCCCAAAAGTAAAAGGATTTATAATACAAAGCAAAGAAACATAAAAATACACACTAATTATTTGAATCGTATTATTGAACACCGGAGAATGAAGTTCCCGATTATGAAATCAGTTCTTATTATCTTCTTATACTATTTTTTTTCCTTTTTATAAACTGCTTTTTAAGGTTCGTTAATTATTGTTTGATTTGTTAACGGAATTATTTATACTATAATAACATATGTCCTAAATATTTCAAACTCGAAAGTATTAAGAAATACAATGTCATAAATTTATAATTTCTAACTCAGCATAATCTTTCAAACACATTTTCTGTTTGTATTATATCTGAAGATCTGATTTCATATCCGTGTAACTTCATTGTTTTCAACCACAGTAACCGCATTACAATAAAAAATAACATTAAATTGATAATTCTATGATCATCCAACCATGAAATGACACTAAATACGAAATATGTACAGACATTTTAAGTTTACATCTATTTACAAAATACTATTATAGACAAACAAGCAAATTATTCCCCCTATAAAGGGCATGCTTCAAAGCACGTCATGTGTTAACCACCCGAAGAAAGAAGCACAGAGTATAAAATTGTTCCTCATAAATTTAACAAGAGGTAAATAAAATATTAACTTGACTTCCATACAAAATACTTTATTTAAACTAATGTTGCTTTACTAATTGCCCCATCCCGCAGAAGGTGACTATCGACACGTGTTCCATACTAGATACTTATTTGTAAGCATTCTTATAATTTGTTTTATTATTGCTAAAACATGTGTACAATAATATTTATATATTTTTCTCCAAAAATTAAATAACTGCGCGCCATGAAGAAGATGATTTTTTGATAATTAGTTTTGATATTTTAAAGATATGTTTGAGTCCCCCCTCATGCAGTGCCGAATCGATCACATCCGTGTCTGATGAGATGGATACCTGCACTATTGTTTAAATATTCCTTCTGAGGATAACTAATATCCTGTCGGAGTTATGACGAGTTTTGAGTAATTTTTCCTTTTATATTTATATTGGTCGGCGCGCCAAGCGCCGCATTCCTTGTAGGATTTCTACCGACTGTGTTAGGTTCATTACTGCAGTATGAATTGATGTGAATAGTTGGTGAAACAAGCGTGGAATCTTTTGTATGAAAACTACCTTCTTTATATTAGGGTGTAAAAGTAGTTTAATATTGTTATTAGCGTTCTTTTGAATGTTTGTCTCGATTGTAGTATCTTACGATTTTGCGATTTACCGCAATTTAGCAAACAATAAACTTATGTAACGTAAACATACGACAACTGTCTACTGTTTGTATTCATCATATAAATTGATTTATTACAGGCTGGCAACAGTTGCAGACATATCTCAATGCATATTATAGTTATGTTATTTTATAAAATTTGAACTGCAAACCATTTAGACAATTTTTGCTTAATAATATCCTATTTAGCTAGAATATTTGCCCTTTTATCAATAATCGTCAATTTTATTCATATTTTTTCAAAGTCTGCCAACTTGCAAAACACGTTTGTAGAAGTTTGCTCCCTTTCAAAGTTGCTTACTGAGAAAAGTGGAGCGCGTTGTGCTCGGACAGTTCTTGTTTTTAGTTTGAAATGTCTTAAAACACACAATATGATTAATTGATATAAATAACGAAAAAGAAATACATACATATAAATGAAAACAAAAGGCATGCATAAACATTTTTATCAGTGTTACAGTAAAGACAGTAAATACATGTACAACAACGAATAATTGCGTATTCGAAAAAATAGCATTTTACATGAATAACCTTCTATAACACGTTTCTATATTTGACAGCTCGACTGAATGGAGCTAAATGTGATTCCCAAAAGTCCAGCTCACGATGCTCTAGTCATTTCCACAGAAAAAGAGAAGCTTAGATACATGAATCAGTGTCATAAAATAATAATGATGATAAAAAACAGCTAAACAACATTGTGTTGTATTTTAATTATTGTAGATTTTCGTACTTTTGACGTTTCTTTCCTTTCTTAATTTGGATCACTATCGTTGGAACTACAGAGACAAATATTCCCACAAGTATTCCGATGCCAACGAACGTAACAGTTTCAGACGTTCTATCTTCGCTCTTATGTTGCTGAGGTCCTTAGATATGAAAAATAAAACACACACATTATATAAAACAAGTTAAAATAAAAAGTTAGCAGATATAAGCATCAAACAATGAAAACAAACATCAACAAGACAAAAAGATGTAGTTCACAAAACGCTGACCCCGACACAATCCAGATACACTTCCAAATTACTAAGAAGGCACCGAACCAAAAAAAATTATTTTACTGAAACGAGTAAACTAGGAAACTACTTGCAAGTAGAACATATCCCATAACACAATGTTTGGAAAAGATAGCATTCCAATGACAGCATTATTTTGGCAATATATTTGAACATTTACTTATAATCACAGAACGAACTTATTATTTTGCCTAGCTTAAAATTGAAAGTTGTAAAAATTATCAAAATCTGAAAACGGTTGGTCCATCGAAAGAAAGTAACGAAAATGAAGTTTAAAACTGAAAACTCGGTCTGTTTGATTGAGTCTGGTAATGGTAGATAATGGAAAATGTGAGATCTGCCACGCACCCTAACACCGTCTAAAGCAATATTCAATCTTCAACACAATAAAATATTAGAATCACTGATCTCAAAGGACCAGAAAAATATAACAACACTGTACAACATTATAACAAAATTTTGTCTATTGGAAGATATACAATGTAATTGTTTTCAAAGGTTTTAACGTTAAAAAGAAATGTGGGAAAACAAGAATCCCTAAAAGACGCCGAAAACGGCAAAATTGAAAATGTTGCAGGCTGATATCATTGAGCCTGTTCAGGGAGGTACCGTAAGGTGAAAGTTATCGTACACGTCCCTTAACATCGGCTTAAGTTGAATTAAACATTTATACATAGAAATGGTGATGTTTCATTAAAAAAAAAATCGCAAAAGGCGGTAATAAATGTCACACGTTTGTGCCATTGCATGAAAAGCGGCGTATTGTCCCCAAGAAAAAGGATGCGTATGCTCTAATCGAGACATTAATGGGCGGAACCAAATTAAATAGAATTTTGTAAGGGGGTCAGATCTTATGAAGCCTGTATATCACAGACCAGACACCGAAGGGCAGACAACATATCAAGTAAGGAATACTGGGACCATCCAACTAGAAACAGTCCAAAAAGAAAGAACTGATAGTACATGAAATACAACAATAATGTCGTCCGAGTGATCCAAAATACATCTCTGGTTGACTGTGCGGGGCGACTTTTTAAGACCTACACACGGCACAAACAACGCTGATGTTGCGATAAAATTGAGACAATAAGAATATCACTAAAGATCGTTCAAAGCGGCATAATTGAAAATTTGCAGAATGTTTGATTGAGCTTGTTCATGGACGGTACTGGAAAGTGCAAACTACCGTCCACGCCCCCTAGCCGGCTATATAGAATTCAACTTTAAAGCATAACAAGGGGGGCATGATGGCCCTAATCCTGATTATAAATGCTCTTAATGACACGGAATATTTGATATTGTAAACTATAAATGAAAAGCAGATATAAAATCTAAATCTTAAACTGATATCACACAGGTCATATTAGTATCTGAAATAGTGTAAATGTCAAAACATGACTGGTGACTATTACTCAGTGAAAACAATTATAGTAACTAATATAAGGAAAAGTCATGACCCTTGGGACGGGACCAGTTTTGACCCCGAGCTATTATTTGAATTATTTTCGTAAAGTTTCATTTGATAATGTTACACAAAAATTATCTAATCTCTATGCCTTGCAATTAAAGAAAATAAGATTTTTACAGAATTGGTTTTCAAAATCTATTTCAGCCCTTCTGAACCAGATGTTCAATGGAACAACATCATCTCAAAAATTTTTGCAGAGCTTTATGCTTGAAACATCCAAGGAAACCTTCATAAAGTTTGATCCAGGGTCTCAAAAGAGAAGTCGTGTGAAGAAAAGTTGACCACGGACGCACTGACAGAAGACTAGACAAATTTTGGTCACAAAGCTCATCTTCAGGACTTTGACCTCAGACGAGCTATAATTGTGAAATATTAGATTTAGAAACATCCGTGAATGTGTTCATGATTTGCGCACTTACCTTGTCTTTCGACTTTCAAAATGTTTTCACATTCAGCCTCTGACGTATGCATTGTTCTACCATCTCCTTTTATTCCTTTAATCTTCGTTCCCGATTCACAGGGTATTTGTGGTACAAGTGGATTCCTGTCTTCTCGTTTACGTTTGTTTTGTGTCGGGAGTTGCATCTTGCAGGCATCTTTTGTCCGAGATAAACATCGCTTTTCGCCATCACAATAAAGGAACTCGCCACTGCATGTACTTCCACAGGCCGGTTGGGGCTCATACGTAAAGAACATCTCTGTCCAATTTCGCCAAAGTCCATCTAAAGTCTTCAAGTGACTGTAACCAAACAGTGAATCTTCCGGACCTTGTTTTATAATGTCATCCCATCCAATATCGTTTGCTGGCCTATAGTCAGACTCAATGTCTATGTCGGTACATCTAAAATTGGTAACAATGAGTCCTATCTAAAATAATTGTTAACTTTAACCCGCCAAATTTGTGTTTTGAATTTGAAATAATTTATTCGAAGTCTTAGTGATGGTGTATATACAAATACAAAAATAAACTACCAACATTAATATTCTTTTTGACATAGCCTGTTCATTGGCGATACCGGAAAGAATAGCGTAAATGGATGCGTGTGTCTTAAACGTAGAAAAATGTGCAATGGTTAAGTCTTCAGGTCATATCCAAATTGAAAAAAAGAATCCCTCAAGAAAGTGCAAATTTCTGTCGTCCAAGCCCCCTAGCACAGGCTCAAAGCGAGTCTGCAACATTTTTAATTTGGTCGTTTGGGCGTTCTTTAGGGATTCTCTTTTTTCTCTGTCACTATCACTGACAAGCTGTCAAAAGACAAGTTCAAAAGGCAGGCAACAAATCCTAAGGTTGATTCAATATTATTCAGGCAAGGAATATTGTTACCACCTAACTAGAAAATAGTCAAATAGAAATTCTTTAAACTAAATTACCACAAACACACAGTATTATGCTGATGTTACGAATAGAAAGAAAATGAATCCCTAAACAATGTCCGAAATAGCAAAATTTAAGCCTGGTCTGACTGCTCGATTCTGACTTTATACTGGTGGCAAAAAAGAGAGATACATTCTCTAGAGAAAGTGTAAAACGTCAAAATTGAAAATGCTGCAGGTTCGGTTTGGTTCGGCCTGTTTATGGACGGTACTGGAGATGCAAGCAACGGTCCACGCCCCCTAGTACTGGCTTAAGTTAAATTCAACATTTGACATGAAATGGTTATTTTTCATTAATTTTAAACCATCCACAGATGTGTTCATACCGCGGTCATCATGGAACCTTTATATGTAATAGGTCTATACAGATTTGATGAAGATTTTCTCGAAGCCCGAAAATATAATATTGTAAGTATATTTAAGGTGTTGAATATTGAGTACCATTATAGTCGTTGCTATCGCACGTGACAGGGATGTTGCACTTTATTTATTGTCCCTCATGTTCAAACTCAATCAAACCGAGTCTGCAAATGTCATTTTGTGATTAATGCTTCCGAGGGATTACTGTTTCTCCAGACATTTAACCTATATGTGCAATATCTTACTCTTCTATTTGATGCTCTCTGAATGTCTCCCAGATATAATCAATAAATGCATGATGAAACCAAAATATCGGATCGTATGCTGCGTTCTCAACAACTCCCATATCTCCACCAATGTAGTCATGTACGCTATCATGAAGAGATTCTAAGTTATGGCCTGTATCCTCTCTGGAAACACCCGTTGTAATATCCTGCAATGAATATGATGATATCAGTTTTGGTTTTATTGACATAAGGAAAGGTAAAATAGTTGATCGAGAGTCAAGTCAACAAAACGCATTCCAAATAGTCAGTTTAAAATCTCAGGTTCGTCTTTATTGATGATATTCCTCAGAGCTGGTGAAAGGTGAAACATCTCTTATGGCCTTCCCCTTACCCCTTCCCCCACACTGGCTTGAGAGGTATTTATTCCCCGACACTAAAAGTGGTGATCAAAAAACAAACAAACAAAAAAGAACAACAGAAAAAAATGTATATTGTATAAATTATCAGTATTTTGAAATACATAAATTTAGTATGATTTATCTTTAAAAAAGTACATGTAATCATCTTTTACTATAAATGCCCAATTACAGAAGCATCTTTCGAAGAGTGTATTTAACAAGAACACTGCATTGTTAAAGGTACAACAGAAATAGTCACAAGTACTACACCTAATGGTACATTAATTATCGCCTTTTAAAAATGACCGATGCATCTGTTTACAATAGCATGGATCATACCATACCTTGAAATGACAAAACCCTTTTAAGTTTTCTATGTCTGCTTTGTTAATCAGTCTTGTAGAATAGAAATCTTTCGCTAATTGCCGTGCGATCACAGCGCCATGAGCTCCGTACAGAAATTTGAAAGAACTTGATGTAACTGTATCATTGTTCTCTCCAAAGAAGCATGGAGTCCACAAGACAGTGTCATAAGGTTGTGGAATTTCATAGTCAATTGTATAGTCCCAATATGGCAAAGATACGCTAGGATTAATCTTCTTCATCTCTTGTTCAAGGCTAAAATATTGAAAACATCAAAGGTGTTAAAACAAAGGGGTTTTTCCTTTATTAACATTATAGAAAACAAAACAAAATGGATAGATCGAAACATTCAGATGTTTTATGACAATGCAATGCAACAGCTCTCACACCGCAGCGTTTGTCCGAATGCAAAACAGTTCCGCTGTAGGGGTGGAGACAAAGTGTTTACTTTAAGATTAAATCTAGTTAAGCTACAACCAGTTGTATAGTCCATTATTTGTATACGGAGATGAGAAAACATAGTCCCACCATTCGAAGAAAATGTAAATATGTTTTGCAACAAAGCAAAAAAAAAATTGGCCCTGAAGTGTAAAGCCGATGTATGATAAAGATTTTATGTTCTAGCGTTTTTATTGGTGACTTGCAAAATCAATCGTGACATTCCACAGTAATCATGCGTCTTATTCAAAATCCTATAAGAATCAGTTGCTTTGCAATCGAATATCAAACAACGTACTGTAAATATTACAAATGTGGAGTAATATATGTCCGAATTAAATTTGTTTGAGTAATCATGAATAATCTTTCAATTAGAGTAGAGATCCAATAAAGAATCATGTCTGGAATAAATGTTTTATCTTTATTATCCTTATGATACTATATGACCTCCAAGGATTATAAAACGTTTTTAGAGGTCTTGTAGACTATGATATTTGCAAAATATAGAACCATAGTATTTATGATGTAAGATGTGTTTTCCTTTATTAGTCTACATAAGGCAAGTGACTCCTGGGCCAGGCCAATTTGACGCGATGGTCATGAATTATGTAACTTTTGTAGAAATCTACACATTGATGCTACATGTCAAATATCTAAGCTCTGTGCTTTGTAATTACACAAAATATGACTTAGATTTGTTTTAATATATTTATTTATATAAGTTCATATAAATCGGGGCGAGCCAATGTCAGTTTTTCAGAGGTTTACAAGGTAATGATATATGCTAAATATCTTAGTTCTTAGCATTGTAGTTCCATAAAATAAGACTGAAATGTATTTTCTCATACAACTTAGTGACCCCATGGGCGGGGCAATATTGACATTAGGAGCATGTTATTTTGTGGTCCATAAAGGAATGATACGTTCCAAAAACCTAAGCTCAAGGCATTTTAGTCCCATACAATAAGTCTCAGATTGTGTGTGTTTCAAATGTAAGTCAAGTGCCCCTGGGGCGGGGCCAATATAATACTAGTTATTGTGTTGTCCATAGAGTGATGTAACAACCAAAATATCTAAGCTCAGGGCATCGTAGTTTCAGATGTGTTTTTTCCAATATTAGCCAGGTGACCCGTAGGACGGGGCAATATTAAACCAAGGGGCAAGATTCATGTCAATTTTATAAAAGTAAATAAGGCAATGCTACGTGATAAATATCAAAGCTCTGGACATTCTAGTTTCTCACAATGAAACCTTAATGTGTTTCCTATGTAAGTCTATATAGAACAAATAAACCCCGAGGCGCGGCCAATTTTGATATCAGGCAGTCCAAATCTGTGTTCTGCACATCATGTCATATTTCTGTCATTAAGTATCCAGAGCGGACACGAAATTTTGAAATTGATACAAAATGACTGTGACCTTGACCTGAGGAAGTTTAACATTTCTGCCAATTTTCCTTGACACCGTTTAAAAGATTTAGACCGGACACGAAACTTTTTAACAGACAGACAGACGACCAGGTGCATGACATTATACGCCGAAATATTTTAGGCGTATAACAAAAACAAGAACGTTGTTGAAAACAATAATCCAAAAACATATAACTTACTGAGCAAGAAAAACCCGATGCCATGGTAAAAACGCACCTCCCTTGTGAGCTCTCAATGTTGCTTTTCCGTGCAAACGTGAAAATGATTGAAGGATTCCTGACTGCAAGTAAAAGACAAATACTTTGCTAATAAGGACCATTCAAACAATGAAACACACCGGGCATCATTATAAAGATAAATGTTGGTGGTTGTTAAAAAATATTCGGGTATTCAACCCGTACTTACAGTATACATGAACTTTTAAGCACCTTTCGCATTATTTTTCTTTTAGGTATTCACATTTCAGGGGTGCATGTATCACAATGATTATCAACTATGATAAAAAAATGTATCAATAATACCACCTTAACGTTTTTTATGGGTAATCATCTATAACAGACATATATTTGATAGTTTGTTTATTTCCAAAAATACATAATAGATTAATATAATAAGCAATATCTTCAACATACTCAACATGCAGACTTCAGTGAAATCGGTTTAGCATCACATCAATATTCCATTAAAATAAAAAATGTAGATATACAGCTGTACATATTGTTAACGGAATAATTTACAGTCAAAACCTATACTTATCTTGTATGGTGCGCCATATATCGTAGTGTTTCATTCTAATGTACCGTTTTTGGTTGGATATTATGGAATTTCAGGCTATTTTATGATGTCCTAGCATATCAATGAATCATACAGGTCTAATCTCATTGCTTTCTTTGGCATGCTTTTAATTTTCCGAATGTTTCAAATTACAAAACAGGTTCGGATTTAACCATAGTGAATGCTATTACATTTGTATATTTTTTAATTTTAGAATTCGGAATAAAGTCTGAATCTAACAATGTAACAGGAAAAGTAATACTAGAAATTAATGAAAATCGTTCACAACAATTCTACAGCCTTGATGTAAAAAATGATTTTTGAATTATTTTTACTTCGAATAATTCTCTGAAAACATCAGTCACATTTGTCCATTCTTCTTCTGACAATGTTCGAACTTCCCTCCTTGTACTTATGCCAAAAAGTGGAGGAGTGTAACCGAAACTGTAATTGAAAATCTATAAGAAGTTGAAATTGAAGATTGAAAGCGGCATTCTCAAACAAAGACTTCAGTAATACCCCGGGTAACATACTTCTATCATTTGAAATAAAATTTAATCTAAGTATCTACACAAAACATCAAGTTTAACTGAGATTGTCGAAGAATGTGTTTTTGCTGGAAAAAATAAAACAATAGTGATATTTTTTTAAATAAATGAAAATTTGAAAAATGACATGTACATGTACTGAATTAAGAACGCCTATTCCACTCAGCCGTTACTGAAGCGCATGAATCTACTGGTTATTATGGACAAGGTTTAATATCTCAAATTATCATGACACGTACTAGATATTATGGAAAGAGAGACAGCTTTGATTAACGTCTAATGTGACTACTACGTATTTTGAAAGAAGAAACAAAACTTTATGTTTAAGTGCATAAAGATTACATGTGATTCATTCAAAATTTGACTTTTAATCTAATCTAATCTAACTATTATAAGTACCGTCCTAGTTGAAAATTAAAGGTCAAATAATTTGTCCACGAAGCAATATATATAATGTACCTGAAATAGGACATTCTTTTCTATTTAGTACTAATAACAACGATTTAATAAATAGCGTTTGTCATAAAATATTTTGGTCATTTATCAGTGACAGACGGTCATTTTGACAAAATGTAAAACAAGTTAACCAAGAGGATTTTCATGTTAATGTATTTGGTAGTTAATTACTTAGAGAATAGCCATAATATTGCAGATAATGAGATATGCATTTACCCGTCAACTGTCGCTGTTTTGAAAACTGCCCAATCTTCATCTGTAAGATTGTTTGGTCCGAGCTTAGTGAAAAATTCATGGCCGCAAGCCATTTCTGCTTGCCAATGTATTGCTGGTGATTTCTTATGGTTAAAAAAAATAATAATGCTTATTACATCTAAAAGATGATTGTTTGCACAATGCTATACGATTGACCAAAACAAAAGTAGAATATTGATATAGTAAATGGTAAATCAATTAGCAAAAGCTTTACCATATAATATGATTGTTAATTTTATATCATTGTACAATTTTTATTTCAATATGGCTAGGCAATCTATGGCTTTTTTCCATAGCAAGATTATGTTAGCTTCCTTACAACAATGGTCTCTTACGTTTGCTTGAAGGGGTATCAAATGCAGTACGCGTATGTGGAGATATCGATAATTAAAAATAAAGAATGACAAAACTTACTCTAGACCTTTGTATGCATTTCTCAATCTCTGACTGCGCACTGTCCGGGAGACTTATGTTGAACTGATAAGCTTGGATGTAATTCGAAACAACAAACATAACAAACATGTATACCAGATGGGACAACATCATTACCTATTATAAAAAAATAATAATTAAGTTTTTGTTGTTGTTGTTATTTTTAAGCAGAAGACAAAATAGGTACAAGTTAAAATTAAAACAAACTAAGGCTGAAATTGCAAAGGGCTTGAAACCCGATCACAGAATTTTAGCTGATAGCCTATATTGAAATAATCAGTTCGAAAATTTTTCAAACTGAAAAATATGTATGCGTGTACCCTTTTTCATTTCTACTTTACTCTATCCGTGCTTAATATATTAAATAAAGTTGTCTATTTTTTGATCTGGCCAAAACTATTAATTATGTAGTTGCAATTTCGAAATAAGTACAGTCAACCCTGTGTAAAAGACCACCTCCGAATAAAAATCACCCTGTAAATGAAATACACTTTTCGAAAAACTTTCATTGATTAAATAAGAACAACATTATTTCCAAATAAAGGCAACTTATCTATAAAGGTCATGCTCGGTCTCTGTTTTGAATTGTCTTTGTTAACATGTTTGACTGTATTGACAGCGTATCTCATAAACAGATGGCACATGGCACATATATGCCGGCTGATTTCACTCTGCAATGCTCGCATCTGTATGTTCTCCTGCTGCTTTAGGCTCAGGGATGGTAGTTAACTAAGCATGACTTTGCATATGGTATAAATGTCTCAAAAAATAGTTTACCTTATCAGTTTTCTATTCGCAGTCTTTCGAAAACCCTCGACTATATATATATCTTCTACTACTGCGCACAGTCCTCAATGGATACTAATGAGTGTTATTGAATTAAATGGGTATATCATAAGTCATATAAAATCATTCACTGTTCTTGTGTGTGTGTGTTAAAGGTAGTGAGTCTTGTGTTCATTTGAAACTAAATTTGCATTATGTGCAGATTAGTATTAATTGGTTAACATTTACAAAAATTAATTGTACAATTAATTGTTATTTTATAAATGGATTTATAAATTAAGTGTTTGAAACTATTTATATAAACAGTCGATTAACTATACTGATTAATAGAAGCCCATTTACCAACATAAAATGCGATATGTTTCTTTTTAGAAATTGCCATCCCGTTGGACAAAAAGAATTTCAAACAAATAATATTTATAAATTGTTTATGGGTAGAACAATGCAGACTAACATATCGAAAATATACTTGGTTAACAATTTAGTGCTTAGCTTCTATTAATCAGTCTAGTAAATAGAATGTTCATAATATTAATTTTAAACACTAAATTGATTAGTTAGGGTATCATATATTTTTATTTCATTTATTTTTATTTTCATTGGCCCCGAGTATGATTTTAATCTAACTTACTAGCATAAAATTATTGAGTAGATCTATATTTAATGGGGCTGGCGATCGTCAGATCCCAAGACCATAGTTTTAATTATACAATGCAGAGCCTACTCTGTTTGTCGTTACCAAGGCATTATGTTGGAAACCTAAGATCATCAGTTTCATCTAACGTGTCAATAAGTTGTTTCAATTAGGCTTAATTGAACAAAATTACAGTGCATACTTGTCTACCTTGTATAGCGTAAGGATGACCGACTAAACAAAAAGAAGACCAAAAGACCATATATTTTAATAGACCAAAATCCCTCGATTCATCCCTTATTTATATAGATGGGACACCTTTAAAAATTGTAATCAAAGTTTTCTTTTTCTTGTAAACCGCTTCAAATTAAGAAGTTGCTGATTACGAACTAATCCGTGCAATCATACATGATGACTTTCTTAAAGATAAAATAAGATAAAGTTTTAAGTATATACATACTGTACAGTCAGCAACTTCTGTAAGAAAAATAGATAAATATGTAATCGATATAATGGTTTGACGTATCGAAAATTGGGAGACAATTAAGATAGAAAATAATATTTTGTCTGATATTTAATTACTTAACTTTATTTTTCAGTACATTAATTTTTTTTCAAATTATTTGTGGATTGATTTGGGTTGATTTTGTCTTTCATTGTTGCTTTGGAGAATGTCTAGGTTATGAAGGTTAAACGTATAAGTTGATGTAGAACTGCATAAAGACATGATAAGTATAATAGTCCTATCAAGATATACGTACAATAACTATAAATTACAAGTTTTGTTTTTGAGATTCGCTCAATGCTCTCTATATCATGTATACCGTTAAGGTTATATAAATCAAGTAGCTCAAATCCGCCTGTGTTCTGTCAATCTATCAAAAACAAATGTTATAGCACTCGTTTCCAGCGAATAACGATATCAGAACAGGTGAAATTTAGATGTATTATTTAAGGAGGATTTATCTATATAAAAAAAAGAAGTTTGGTGTCTTTTTATATGTGCGTTCGATCAGAAATGGTCATGTTTTAAACATTTGTAATGTAATGGAGAAATGATGTAACAAACCATATGAATTTGTATTAGTATTTTTATGCAATCGCACAGTTCTGGGCAAACCCAAGTAACAGTTTAACATATATTCATCTACTTACTAAAACCTACAATTTTTAGTCTCACTATCCCTGATGCTTATACTTAAGCTCAAGTCATTTTAAATCACAATCCGGTGAGTAGCCATGCATGTCTATAAATCTGGTTGGTAGTGTTGGGTTTACTATTAAGTTATAATTTATCTTAAAGCATATGATGAGTCTGAAGTCATGTTTGTAATGCTCAAGTTAAACGAAGTCAAGATCTTACAGCATAACATTATTACTGGCTTGCCGGGAACAATCCTTTTTTACCAATCTAGCCGCCCTTCACTGAACGTTACAATATCCACAAGTCGGATGTTAGATTTTGTGTTGGGCCTAAGACAATGGATATGCTTTTTCAACCTAAGACTGGATTGAGCTCTTTAACTGACATTATTAGTAGCAATGTTTTAATTACATTCTTGTTTGTAGTGATATTTCTCTGAATAAAGCCAAGGATCATATCGGCATTTGTTGTAATGTAATTCTTGAGATCATCTGTTCAGTGTACGAAAAATCAAATTAGATGTCGAGTCCAGGGTTTTGGCCGATGAATGAGAGTCAAGATTGAGTCCATGTAAGATACGTTGGTGTTTTTGGCTTAGCGTTTAGAGAGGTTAAACTCTATGCCACATTCTTTCTCCCAGATTTCCATTGAGACATTTTCTTGGAGGGATTTCTATTAACAACGGAAGCTAGTTTGGATTTTAATCATAGGTTTTATTGTCGAAAGATAATTATAGACATGTTACTTATCACTCGCAATATACATGTATATCGTGTACAAACAAGTTCTAAAGAGGTCTTAATTAGTGTAAATAAAAATTATGTCTTTATAAAAATTCTTTACATATGTACACTTTAATCTTAATATAACATTTCTGTAAAATTTGGCTGAAATTCAACAATTAAAACAGCTCTATTTCCATCCTTGAAAAGCACAACCCTCTTCTGTAAAATAATCTGGGAACAAAGTGATACCATGGAAGCATTAATCACAACAAAATTACATGAAAACTGCATACTCGGTTTGAATGAGTCTGTACATGAGGGATAATGAATAAGTGCAACATCCCTCACGCCCCGGCCCTAGCACCGGCTTGAGCGGTACGGATCTTAAAAATCAAGAATCTCAAATTGTTTAGTTTAATGAAGTGATTGTCATATGACATTCACATAACAATGAAGTACCCTACAGGATACAGATACCTGCTTTAAGATTTCAAAGGTAATAGCAATTTGTATGAACAACAACAACAATCACTTTTATTAGAAGCCACGTCACAATAGTAACAATATGACTGATTATCATAAAGAGTGGGTAACATGATACATAATACAAATTCTACTTTAAACTTTTTTCATCACATGGGGACAGTAATTATATTGTCAAAACTGCTGAAATGTTGTTTATGTTTCCAAATATACATTTATGATTAACTGATAAATAGTAAGTACAAGTACATACATGTATGAAATACAATATATATGTTTACTTCTAGAAAAGGTGTAACAAAAGAGTAGTAGAGCATTATGATACTAAAAAAAGAAAAAAAAAAGAAAAAAAAATTAACACATTTTGTTATTATTTCTTCTATAAATTGTATAGTTATTTATCAAATTATCATACATACTAATGAAAACTAATGCAAAGGAATATCAGGTGGCGTGAGAAAATACTAGTACGTCACTACAGGTGCACGCTTTTCACGTACATAGACAATACTACGATATTGCAAATATTTACAACCGCTAAGAAAGGCTATAAATGAGCCGTGTCACGACAAAACCAACATAATGGGTTTGTGACCAGCATGAATCCAGACAAGCCTGCGCATCCACGCAGTCTGATCAGGATCCATTCTGTTCGCTGACAAACTCTATAACAAGTAGAGAAACTGATATCGAACAGAATGGATCCTGATCAGACTGCGCGGATGCGCAGGCTGGTCTGGATCAATGCTGGTCGCAAACCCATTATGTTGGTTTTGTCATGACACGGCTCAAATATTAAATCGTTCGTTACTAAGATAGTCAGGGAGCAATATATGAAAATGAGGAAGAACTTGAATTCATTTGGATTTAACTTAGAAAATCGTTAGGCCTGTCTTGTTCTAGCTATTAGACTTAAAGTGTTCAATAATAGAACGTGCTAAAAATACAATATTTTTAAGAAGATCAAAATTTTCTGTTGATAATAATTCCTTAAATTTCAACACGTTTGGTCTACTGAAAAAGTAAGTTGGGATGTATCGCTTTCTTTGAAAACAGAAAAAAGGACACACTAACATATAGTGAAATTCATCACCGACTTCATTTAACATACAAAGATTGCATTTACGCGCTTCATATGGAAGATGTGAGTTGCGCCACTTTCCTATTTCAACAGGTAATTTATGATTTCCTGTTCTAAAATGGAAAAGAGTGAACCTTAGATTATTTGGTAGTATATTTAGATATGCTTCAAATGATATATCATTTTTAAATAGCCTATAGTTTATACCTTTAGATGAATTTTCAAGCTGACTGTGCCATTTTTGTACGAATTGATCAATTAATACCCTTTTTACATGCTTATAAGTATTGGTTAATAAGAGCGAGTTTTGATATGTCCAAATATATATGTATGGCCCGTTTGGTTTAATATGTTTTTTATGTGGTTTAACCACTTGTAGTTAACAGTAGAGTTCAGCATATGATTATAACAGATGTGAGATATTTTCGTTGTATTACTTGATAATAGTTTACTCCAAAAATGAATCATTCTCGATTTGATTACAATTTCAAGTGGATATCGTCCAAGTTCACCATATAACATGTGGGGTGCTCTTTTTACTTTTAGTAATTTTTCTAAGGAAATCGGTATGTATTCTTTCAATCATGTCTAGATTTTCGTGACCCCAGACCTCGCAATTATATGTCAATATTGGAAGAATCGTTTGATCGAATAGTTTTAATTGAATATCAAGTGGCAAATCCAAATTGAAGATTCGCGTATACAGAAGGTGCATTGCTTTATTTGCCTGACTTGCAATCAGTTTACGGGCATTTAGAAAACTACCCGATGAAGAAAAGAGAATACCTAAATACTTATAATCTTTAACTATTTCAATATTTAAACCTCCTAAATGAAATTTAAAGTTTTCTGGTTTATTAGTTCCAAACACAATAATCTTAGTTTTAGAAATATTCACGGTCATTTTCCATTCTAAACAGTACAGATTAAAATCATTAAGTAAATTTTGAAAAACAGATTCGTTTTCACTTATAATGACAGTGTCGTCGGCATATAATAATACAAACAATTTTAAATATGAGTGATAATGAATAAGTGCAACATCCCTCACGCCCCGGCCCTAGCACCGGCTTGAGCGGTACGGATCTTAAAAATCAAGAATCTCAAATTGTTTAGTTTAATGAAGTGATTGTCATATGACATTCACATAACAATGAAGTACCCTACAGGATACAGATACCTGCTTTAAGATTTCAAAGGTAATAGCAATTTGTATGAAATTACATTAAGTAATAACATATGTAAATATCCTTTCCTATGCATTGTTTTTCATTTTACAGCAGCAGACATGTCTGTCAGAAACTAAACTTTTATGCGCACAAATTGATGACATCATAGGCACTTCAAATAAAAAAATAAACTGCTCATGAATGAAAGGTTTGAGAATAGGCTGGGTGTGAGATCTTATAGGATATATTTATAAACTGGTCACTGGATCTGGAAGGTAAGCTGCATATATATATATGCAACGGGAGGGAGGAGTTAGTCCAAATGTAATACGGCTGATTTGAAGCCGTCTACTGTCTAAGCTTGCGCAACACTATCGCTCAATTTATTTCAATCGACAACTGTTCGTGGGAAAAAATGATTATAACATATAGTTTTACACTGCACAGTTTTAAATTTAAGCATTTACAATGATTTATCACCTGTTTTTTTAGATGTTTTCTGTGGCACAATTCTCAATAGTCTTAGTCTTCACTCTGCGTCTGTTTACTCGGACAGGCGTCAGGTAGTCTTGGTAAGGCAGGACTGGTCCCAACCACCATATAAAACATCGTCAGTCTGTTTGCTTTCCTTCCTTCCTGGAGTGGTCGAAGCATTTGTGGAATGCACCCTGGGGACCTGGTGGTATAGTCGCCTGTAATAAACCTAGCGGACTGTTTTTGGCCCTTTTCAAGCTAGTCAAAGTCTCTCTGGAGATATATGAATCCCAGACGACCGAACTTTATTCCAGGGTAGAGCGTAACAGAGACAGGAATGCTGTATTGCAACAAGATTCAGGGCAGCGCGCGTTTCAGGTTCCTTCTTAGAAATCCTAGGGTTGAGTTTGCCTTCTTGGTAATCTTGCTAATATGGATACTTCATTTCTGGTCGTCTGATATGGTAACTCCTAGAAATAGGTTCTCTCGTACTTGTTGAAGGATGTACGTGGCTGTCCAAATGGTAAAATCTAGACGATTTCTGGTTGAAATAATAATTACTGGTATAACTGTAACAGCAAGATTGGGTCAGCGTCTGAAACCGAGTGTCTGTGATATCGCAGTACACGATACACCATAGCAGATACACTACATAACATTATATTGTATATGTAAATCGATACGAACTGATTATATCGAGGCGACTTTTGAAGATGATGACGATATCTGTTTTGTTCGTTTATAACAAAAAGGGAAGAAGAGTTGTTCCCCGTTACAAATGATCACCATTTGCAAAGCTCAATGTTGTGAAATCGTTATGAGGAACAGTTTCATTTAGAACAATTATTAAGATTGTATACTTTGTCATACAAACATTTCAAAGAAGCATCAATGTATACCATTGTTCTGGGAGGAGATGACAAATCAGGAGTAAGTTCGTAGCGATGGTCAAAAATGACAAAACTGAGAATAGAAATTGACATCAACACTGATAAACAAACATATCCCCGTACTGCCACTTTCCGATCAGCTAACAGATACTAAGTAGGTTCTTATACACAGTTTTACATGAACTAATTTATAACACTGCTGCATATTATACCAGTTTTATCTTTGTGACAGAACAGAATAAATAAGATTTTATTTCCAATCATAATATAAACACTTATATTTTACAAAGTATTTATTTTTTATTATTTTTCTTGATACGATGTTTTATAATAATAAAATGATTTTACATGCAAAATATCGTTAAATTTTGTCCATAAATAAAAAAGTTATAAGTTATATTCGAATTATGTTCTATAAAAGTCATATCCGTAGCGAACAGAAGATACCGAATATGACTTATATTTTATAAATTGATTATTTTTTATTAACTTTTCTTGATTAATAATAAAATGATTTTATATGCAATATATCGTTAAATTTGGTTTATAAATAAAAAGTTATAAGTTATATTTGTTTTTGTTTTTTTTATATATAAAATCATATCCGTGAAGAACAGAAGATATCAAATATCATTATATGACTTATATTTTATAAAGTTTTTTTTGTCTGGATTACAGTGAAATAACATGCAAATAATCGTTAAATTTGGTACAATTAATAATAAATCATTTTTATTCCATCATACAACAAGATGACTTGAATAATTTTCTTTGAAAATATATATTTTGGGGCCTGAATGACCGATTTTGGGGCCGCATTGACTAGTTTTGGGGCCGCATTGACCAAATAGAAATACTGTTGGGCCGGATTGACCAATTTTGGGGCCGGGTTGACCAATTTTGAGGCCGGGTTGACTTGGGGCCGGGTTAACTTGGGGTCGGGGTGACTGTAATTCGTTAAATGACATGTAAATCACAATATTTAACATTTGATGAGATCAATGATCAAATAAAGATGTTAAAGAAACTAAATCTTGATTTGTATAATTTACTAGCGGGTAGTTGCTTGTCATGTAGAAATGAATCTTTCTGTAATAGTACATGTTTTGATAGTAGGCCTACAGATAAACAAAACAAACAAACAAAATAAATGCCAGATGCTACAGTAACTAGACTTATTAATATTATTAAACATCATAATCATTGACATTGTAACTGATGAAATTTTGCTTTAAAAGCCTAGCAAATGTATTGGGTAACAAACTTGTGGAAGCAGATACCGTAAAATTCCTAATAAATGCCCCTCCCCTAATAAAGGCCCCCCAGGCCTTTTGTTAAGAAAAACAATCTACTCATCAGTGCTGAACTCATGAGTAAATCCATAATTTCATTCAAATCATTCACAATCCATTTTATTTTATAGTATGAACTTAAAAATCTTAACACTTTTTGATGTTATTACCAATACTTGCTAACACTGAATGTATTTACAATGATTTTTGGATTTAGGAAAAACTGAGTTGTAATAATAGCCCCCCTTTTGGAAAATGTTTAGCCCCGGGGGCTTTTAATAGGAATTTTACGGTATAGGGTTAACTTGTAAATCTTTAACAACTGTAGATGTTTGTAATATATCTCAATGTCTTAATTTTTTGTAAGCTAGACATTTGCATTAAGTTGGGCTTTTTTAAGGGCAGTGAGCAATGAATCTTTCTATCTCTCAGCTGTGATAATACATGTTTTGAAATTATTTTGGAAATGATTGATATAACACAACAAGCAACTACCCACTTATGTCAGCGTCCAATTAACAGCAAATCTATCTATGTGGGGAGTTTGAATCATGTTTTAGAAAATATATATATATTTAAAACATCAGGTTAAAACCATTAAAATAAAAGAAAGGACATTTAAATCAGTTTTCTTTTATTTCACTTAATTAGGTCATTTACTATGGACACAAACATTTCATTTCACAAAGATTCTCAAAAATATGAAAGAATCCCCCCATTCCCCCTGGAAGAATAGACACTGGATATATATTATCAAATTTACATTTCATGCTCATAAAGGGAGGTAATTAGAAATTTATTTTCTATAAAGTCTTAAAAGTAATGAATGCATACATTGTATATTTCAATGATTACATAATTGTAATGTGGACAAAAATTTGCAGTGCATATTTTAAATATTCAATTTCTTCGATATTTGAAAATTGTTTTTGAATCATAATTAGATACATACATTTCACTTAAGTGTGCTTACAACCTTAATTACAACATACAACAGGATCTTTAAATTATATACTTTTGGACTTACATATAACACTGTTTTAGTACAACATAAATAACTGTTTATACATATACAGCAGTAAGAATAAATAAAATGTCAGCTATTTATTCTATTTTAACATGACTTTAATACGGTAACAGTAGTCACTAGCGCATTTAAGTTGGTTATGCACGCCACTTTAGTAAGTTATGCCTATGCCACATTAGCAAGTTATGACACTTTAGTAAGATATGCCACTTTAGTAAAAGAAGCAACTTTAGTAAGTTAGGCAACTTTAGTAAGTTACAGCACTGTGACTTTAATTCTTCTCTTCATTTGTAAAATTTAATTATGTTGACATTTAATAACATCAACTTTAACTCCTAAATAAAAATGTTTGTCAATGGATCTCTCTTTTTTTCAATCAGATGTGTGGAAATTTTTAGCAAGTGATGACAGACAAAGTGCTAGGATGAAAGTGTTCACTAACTGTACAGTTGTATTAGAGTTTGAGGCATGTACATCATACAAGGAAAAATGTACATGGAGAAAGACAATAACAGATAATGGAGGGGTTATATCATACATTCTCACCAAGAAGGTATCAAAATTTAACTTATTTTCTTTCTTTTTTTGCAACAATTTACTACCTTATTTAGCATGGTTATCATAAGAAAATTGAAAAAATTTAACTAACTAAATATTGAAGTGTTCCATTTCTGATCCTGAATCAGTTGTGGGGAAAATCTAAAGAACTGTTAAGTTTACTAGATAAAGAAATTGACTCGGTTATTGAAATTGTGGGATATCAGATGTAGATTTTTATTTGGAAGGTATGAATTTCCTAACAAATTGATTTCTTTTGTTTCAATGCATAGATTAGTCTTATTTAATCAACTGATTTATAGAGGATACAAAAAGAATTTCACTGCAAAATTTTGTAAACAAAAAGCACATGTCAATATGTTTGTGATTAAATCAACTGTTATTCAAATAAAAGGGCAGAGAAGGCTCTATCAATGGTTTTAAACAATTTACAAGATTTCAGAATATTTGTTACGTTTGCATGTATTATATCAATTATTTTTGCTTCATTTTTAAGGCTTCATTTTTTGTTGTTTTCAACAAGAAAGGCACAAGTATTTCATACAAGTTACGGCAGTGTAACAGGCATAATATTCCTGTGGTGAGCCCAAAATATGTACAACAATGTGTTTCTAAAAATAGACTCCTTGATACTGGCAAATACAGGTTAGCGGACATCAACAATAATCAGGAGTTTGGGAAAGGAAAAATTCAGAGTAAGAATTATTTAAGATACATCAATTAAGGAATGAAGACAACTCTTTTATTATTTTTTGTTTAGACATATCTACTTAAGATTGAGTTTTGAGAAAGCTGAAGATTTGATTTTATTATTTGAGTTTAAAAGAAACATAATTGTGACCTAAGTAGAATTTTAAGTCACACCAACAATGTAAAAGTCATACGGCGACTTTCAAGCTTTACTGGTTTGTCCTTCTTTTTACATAGAATGAAAATCTTTATAAAGCCGGAAAATAGGTATTCCGGATACCAGGCAAAAAATTTCAATAATTTGTCATTTGTGTACAAAATTTTACTCCGTAAAAGCAGACATAGAGTTACTAGATTTTGTCAAATGAGTCTGTGTATTACAACTAAACAGTAACTAAAAGTAAGGATTCAAATACAAAATGAACAAGTAAGCATAAAATTTTAATTATTCATCCCCCATGCTCCCATGCCCGAAGTTATTTGAACACTATAAAACTCATTTTTGCAGTGAATGATCCGTTTCTGAGGCACAATGTGCCATTAACATTGAACTGTACAATATGAGAATATATTTAGACATGTACACAGCTTCAAAAACATATTGGATGAGCTGGCATTGAAAATTTTTGTTTTTTGTTTTACATAGCAACACATAATGAAGTAGGTAGAGGTACAAGGCGTGTTAAGAAGAAGGTAGTCACAGTAAACTTGTCCAGTTATCCTAGCTTCTTATACGGTGATGTAAATGCTCCCGAGTTTGATGAGGACACATTCCAGTTACCAAAATGGGCACTGCTAATAAATAAGGTATGTTTGTTATGTAACATAAGCTTACAGTAGTTGTTAAAGATTTAGAAAATAAATTAGATAGTAACAAACAAATAATGTCTCCATAATCTTGAGATAAGTTGAAAATTTTAAAAAGCCTTATGTTTCTGTAACAGCAAATTTTTAGCTCACCTGTCACAAAGTGACGGGGTGAGCTTTTGTGATCGCTTTTCGTCCGGCGTCCGCCCAGCGTCCGTCCGGCGTCCGCCCGTAAACTTTTACTTTAAATGACATCTCTTCATAAACCACTAAGCCAATTTCATCCAAACTTCACAGGAATGTTCCTTTGGTGGTCACCTTTAAAAATTGTTCAAAGAATTTAATTCCATGCAGAACTCTGGTTGCCATGGCAACCGAAAGAAAAAACTTAAAATATCTTCTTTTAAAAAACCCAAAGAGCTAGAGCTTAGATATTTGGCATGAAACATTTTCTAGTGAGTGTCTACCAAGTTTGTTCAAATTAAAGCCCTGAGGTCAAAATTGGCCCTGCCCCAGGGGTCATTGATTTTCCCTATATGCATATAGTAAAAACTTAAAAATTCTTCTTTTAAAGAACCCAAAGAGCTAGAGCTAAGATATTTAGCATGAAACATCTTCTAATAATTGTCTACCAACTTTGTTCAAATAAAAGCCCTGGGGTCAAAATTGGCCCCGCCCTAGGGGGTCATTGATTTTCCCTACATGCATATAGTAAAAACTTAAAAAATCTCTCTTTTAAAGAACTCAAAGAGCTAGAGCTAAGATATTTAGCATGAAACATGTTCTAATGGGTGTCTACCAAGTTTGTTCAAATAAAAGCCGTGGTGTCAAAATTGGCCCCGCCCCGGGGGTGACTGATTTCCTTATATGTGTATAGCAAAAACTTAAAAAAATCTTCTTTGAAAAAACCCAATTAGCTAGACTTTAGATATTAAGCATGAAACATCTTCTAGTAAGTTTCTACAAAGTTTGTTCAAATAAAAGCCCTTGGGTCAAAACTGGCCCCGCCCCAGGGGTGTCATTGTCAGACCTGGGGTAATCATTAATTGTAATCATGGAATTTTTAATTGATTACATGATTACACTGTAATCATCGAGTAATTGATTACCTTGCCCAAAATTGATTGATTTAATTGTAATTAATCAATTACAGCTAAAATTCTGTCAGTAATTATGATTACAAGTTGATTGACATTGATTACTTTCAGATTTAACAGGAAACTATTTTAATTCAAAGTATGCCTTTATTTTACATGATACATTTAACTTTTGTTTTACATTTATATAATTAAAACCATCATATTGGCTGAACCAAAGTGGTCTTAATTGTGGGGTGGTGATTATTGTGACTATTCTTATCATTGCTTACATTTACATACTTTAAAATGATCATGGTCTGTTTTGTATGAAAAAAACAACAAAAAAAACATGTGTCTTATGCTAAAAACAGTATAAAGACACTATAAAAGTACGCTTTGATATCGGATGAAAGGAAAACATTTTTCTGAAGAAATTTAACATAAATTCTCTTTGGTCATATTCCAATATCAATTATAATATGAAGTACATAAATCACCTTTCAAATAAAAATTAATTCTTCACAAAATAAATTTGCAATATTAAACCACTTTAAAATTTACTTTCTCACCTTATTTCATACAATGATGTCCCAATAATAACAGTTTTTCACACCTTGTGAAATTAAGTGTCATTCAAAGCATTCAAGCAGATCATAACAACAAATTCAAGATCTAGATGGGTGTTGACTTTAATATCAGTGGTCTCAATAGTTGGGTCAAAGTAAGAATAAAGCAACAAATTTGGACTGGATCAGGTGGTCTTAAAAGTGGATGAGTGGTTGTTCTTAATTCTGGATCATGTCACCATTGACATGAAGAACCTTGTAAAAAAGTCTTATTAAGGTATATTGACATGAAGAACCTTGTAAAAAAGTCTTATTAAGGTATATTGACATGAAGAACCTTGTAAAAAAGTCTTATTAAGGTATATTGACATGAAGAACCTTGTAAAATAGTCTTATTAAGGGGTGGTCTACATTCAGGGGTGGTTTTAAGTAGGGATTCTACTTTACATTGAATGTAATCAATTATCAATCAATTACTCTCTTAAAATAATTGTAATTCAATTGATTACAGAGGCAAGTGTGAGTAATCAATCTTAATCAATTACAATAAAATCTGAAAGTAATTGTAATTCAATCAATTACTGATCAATGTAATCATCCCCAGGTCTGGTCATTGTTTTTTACTATATGTGTATAGTAAAATCTTAAAAAATCTTCTTTTAAAAAACCCAATGAGCTAGAGCTTAGATGTTTAGCATGAAACATCTTCTTATGGGTGTCTACCAAGTTTGTTCAAATAAAAGCCCTGGGGTTTAAACTGGGTGGGGTGGGGGGCAATGTTTTTCATTTTATGTGTGTAGTAAAAACTTAACATCATGAAACATCTTCTAATGGGTGTCTTCCAAGTTTGTTCAAATAAAAGCCTTGAGATTTAAACTGGCCCGGCTCCGGGGGCCGATATACAGGTGAGCAACCTCAGGGCCGTCATGGCCCTCTTGTTTTGTTAGTCCTACTGCATAGACTTATTTTAGAATATTTCAAAGATGGTTTTATAAGACTCTGGTATCTGTTGTCATTTCCACTTTTCGGGGGGAAAAATGTGAAGCTATTTGTCATAACCCTCTCTTTGGCATTGGCGTCAGCATTGTCTGACTGTTTTATTAAGGTCTATTTTCTCAGAAACTATAAAAGCTATTCACTTTAAACTTGGTATACATTGTACATGTTTATTGCCATAAAAAGACACCGATTCAAAAGGGCAGATAATCCTAAAATTATCTTGTTGCAATGTTATACCCTTTTTTCTATGTTGCCTTTACAAATATATTTAACTTTCCAGCACTCAGTAAAGTAGAGCACTGTCCATGGACATTTCTTTTTTTACTGATGTATTTAAAAGTTAAAAAAAAAATCAATTCCTATAAAAAAGTATTCAACTGAAAATGAATTTTGTTTTTGACTGTCATTTACCTTATGTTGTATTCACAGGAGACAAAGAAAATGGAAGCATTGGAGGTACATGTTGCCACCAGACTGGACTGCAAGTTCAGATACAGGTTATATGCACAGAATGCTCAAGTTGACAATAATAAGGTACCAGTCTATTTAGTTTGAAATATTTGTTGTTTTTGCATTAGATACTAAAGTACAACCTCTGTAGAGACGCACCATTAGAAGGCAAAGATTTCTGGGAAGGGCTTATTGAAATGTTGCTAGAACTTCCTGCCCAACCCATTTTCTTTTGTTTTATTGTTCTATTTTGGTGTATATTTGCATGTATATAGGCAATAAAATATGGTTAAATTAAGAATACAAAGAATTTGGTTCCCTGCTTAGAGGTTTTGCTGTTAACAGAGGTTAGATAAACTCGGAAGATTTACTTCATGGAAATAATGTAAGGAGGTGATTGCTCTATATAGGGCCTTTCTGCATAGATTGTACTGTATTTTCAATCACAGCTGTTGATATGTAGTGATGAAGGGGTAGAGCATTAAATTTTTTATCTAGAGGCAAGATTGTCTCTTGACTCCCACAACACACATTGGTGCCATTACTGGTTATGACATCCAGAAAGCAGTTATCTGGATTGATCTAAGACATGTGCCTAGTTTCCAATAAAAGGTTTGGCTATTAATGGGTAAACAAAATAAAAGAAAGTTAGCTTTCCAGGAATTCTTAGCCTTATTTTCTAGATTTTGCTTGGGTTTAGTGGCAGTTTTGTGATAGTCAATGAATTATTGTACTGCAGTAGTAACCTGTTTATTCACAAGTAGCTACCATCTTTTTTTTAAAGAGTATTTTAGTGAAAGTTAAGACACCATAAAGATTATATGGAGACTTTCAAGGTAAACTAGTTGCATAAGACTTTGTAGGTCCTCCTGCATTTTTTAAGGAGCAAGCTGCTGCCTTAGTTTACCCGACGTTTTTTTAGCTTGTCTGTTTTATAGAAATGGTCGTGCTATTATGATTGCTGCGTTATTATCTTTGTTGTTATTGTGCAAACACTTGAAAGTAGCCCATTATTCAAACATTTTATAATCTTGGAATATCATGACAAGGGGAAGTAATAACACAAAGAGCATAATTCTAAAAGCAATATTTTTTTGGAGTTAATGACCATTTTAACTGTATTTTTGTCAAAATTGCATATTATAAATGAATTGTTTCCATGTGTCATGTTTTCATTGGTGTAAAGAGATTTACTTTGACAAATCTCTTACTGTACTGATACAATGTAAATGTATTTTCAGGTGGTGAAAATAGACGAGGCCTTAGTCTGGTACTTTCAGACAGTGTCTGAGGTACTGAGTGGTTATGAGCAGTTGTATAGACAATATACCAACAAACCTGTGTGTATGGTACCTTGTAAACCAGGATCAGTAGATGTGCAAGACTTTGGATCTGCTTCTTTAAGGATGGTATGACAATAACAAAGATTTTTATTTCTGATTTTATTTTCATTGCTTTATAAAAACTAGAATTTATTATATTTTGCTAAAATTAAATGGTATATACATCATGTAACTGTAATGTAAAATAAATGCTGATTTGCAAAGAAACAACCTTTTTTAGGGATAATATTGATGACTAACAAAACAAGTACAAAAATAATCGGATCGAAATAAGGATAAATTTTAGGATTTGGATCAACTATTGCCCAAGTCTTGTAAAATAGCAATAAATTTATTCTAAAATTTTATAAATGTGCTATTTTAAAGTCCAACTTTATAAATTTACGGAGTAATCTTTGAAGAAAAACATGAGAATATTTAAGCTTTTAAATTTTTAAGTCTTTTGTTGAAATGAGTTAACTTATATGGTTTTATTTTTATTGTTCTTCATAGAAAATTGGAAAGTTATCTCTCTTGAATGAAGAAATTTCCCCTCAGGTGGCAGCACTGACTTCACTAGTCTGGAATGAGGCCCTGACAGAGGTTGATACCATGTTGGAAACTCCTATGAAGTATATACAGGAAAAGCAGGTAAAATTTTAGGTTAAGATACAGTCAAATGTCTTAAGAGACCAATGAGAGAAGAATGTGAAAGTGGTGTGTTTAAGACAAATGGTCTCATAGTTAAGGTTCACATAAATACAAGCAGAGAGATGAGTTGAAATTTCGATCTGAGTGTTCAAATTTGTACAGGTGTGTATTAGATTGGTGACATACATAGAGGTTTAACAATATATCTAGATAATATTTACAGGGTCCCTGTTCCAAAAACACAGGAGTGGGGGGGATGGGTAACTTAATATGGGTGAAACCTCTTGGGAAGACCAGAGAGGGGTCTTTGAAGACAGTGTGTGGCATTATTAAGGTGGTCGTAAAGACAGGTTGGAATGAAGAACTATAATTGCATACATTTTGAAGTAGAAGCTGAGAACTTTAAGTTCATTTGATAAAAAATTATCTATCCTGATATATTGAAGGTGCTGGGTTTTTTTTAATGGGTATAGGGACATTTTGATATCTTTCTCTAAAAGAAAAAGCTTAAAAGTGTCATCAAACTTTTGTGAATATATTGCATGAAACAATAATGTGAAAATTTATAACTGGATAACGCACATGTAATTTTTATCATAACTATTCAAAATTAAGGAGTATCCGTATGAATCATGATGCTCATTTTTCTGGCTTTCATGTTAATTAATATAAGTTTTATTAATTCATATAAGTTATATATTTCAAAAGAATGACTACTATTATGTTGATTGACCAATGATGGGTAGTGAAAAATGTTTTATGATGCAATACAAAAATGGCCTAATTTATAAAAAGACTGCCGCACTCCTCTTAAGAATTGAACGATACTGATATATTCTGAACTATAAGCACTCTAATTTCAGTTGGTCACCTGAATTATTAATTTTTTTTTTTTTGTATAGATGAATATATGGTTGAACTCTGTTATGGCAAAATGTCAAGTAACTTTGATTTTACCTGTTCATTTACCATTTACACTTTGATGGGCATAATGTCACTTTAACTCTAAATGTTATTTACCTCTTGTAGATAATTGAAGCGAAAGTGATACTGTCTCAATTAACGGATAAGTTACTAGGCAACTATGATGATGATATGGACAAGCTTATAGAAGAATTTTATGAGGTTTTGCCTCATAAAGAACAATTTAAGAAGTCTAGTGATTGGACTCTAAGGGAAGTCATTGGTAAACAAGACCTGTGTCAGGTAAAAGCTAAGTCTTGTTATGCCATATATGTGCACATGTCTCTAGAAAGTTAAAAAGTATTTTATTCCATATCTTTTTATATGTAATATTATGCAATGTACAAAAAAGGGTTAGGCCTGAAGTAATTTCCTCCCTTATAAAAGCTTAACATCTTTAGAAGGTGATTAAGTTTGATTAAATAAGTTTTCTATGATAGTGTGGTTGTGAAATTCACAAACTGAGAGTGGCATTGATTTACACATATATATCATAAAATTTATTTTTTATGTATGTACAGAAATATTAATATTTAGTAGTCAAGGAAAACCTCATTGCCTTACTGTTAAGTATGTCATTTTGGGACAAAATTGATGACTTTCTTCCAGCTTGATGTTTTTGAAGTGACACAAAAGTTTATTCATGTAAAATTAGATTATAAATGATTTAGTCAATAGAATACATGTACTTTGTAGAATCTGTATGTAATTTCTGTTTTATTTTCACCAGCTTTTATCAGATATTGTTGCTGTAAGTGAAGCCACAGACTGGTCCCCTGATACTACAGTTATTGCTAAATACAGAGCCATGGGTTGTCATATAAAATATGTAAACCAGTCTGATGCTGATGATGACTCAGCAGAAATTTACAAGATCTTGGAAGAGAAGCTAGCTAAAGATGGAGGAAAGGTACATGGTCTGTTCCGAGTTAGACGGACAGTGGAAGAGGTGAACTTCATGTCAGACATAGGAAATATAAATCTGCTGAGTCATGCTTCACCTTGTCACAACATACTTGGAATTTTGTCAAGGTTTGCTGAATATTTGAGACAGTTTTATTTTATCATTTTGTGTTTTAGATTCAGTACCATTTTAATTTATGTCTTGTGCGATGTCCATTAAGAAAGAAAACAGTTGGAATTTTTTAAATTATGGAAGTAAATTTTATATACGCTAGCATCCCATTATAATGCTCAAGTTGGGGACAGTCAGTGTTATAATCAGTTTTCTGATATATAACTCTCATTACAAGATTCAGTTATTGTCAGATATACGGACATTTGCCCTCCAGGACACTTGATACCCACCCACTCCCTGCAGTAAAAAAATGCATCAATAAAATTTTGCCCTCCCCCCATGGAAATGTAAAGGTCGACATTTCCCTCTCAGTTTAATCATTTGCTAAATGTATATTAAATGCACTCTTAAGCTGTATATGTTTTAATTATAATGCATTAATTTCAATAATAATGCCTTTATTGTTGCAGTTTTTATTGAAACAAGCTTTAGACTGCATTTGAAATAAATTTAGCAAATTTCCAAACTTTGGGGCAAGTGTGCAACATCACTCACACCCCGTCAACACTGTAAGTATTGGAACAAATGATCCAGAAAACCAGAAAACAATATCACAACTCTGGGATGAAGTATGGGGCATCACCTGTTGTTGCGAATATAAAAATTCTAGAACAGACGGAGGAGGGAGATGGAATAGCAATATCATTTCATGTTTCACGCTATTACCTATTATCAAAAAGCTCAATAGGGAGAGCATCTGATTAGTAATCCAGATTGATAGTGAAGACAAAATTTCCCTGTTACAATTTAGTCTAACAGTCATTTGTCTCTCACTGCTGATTCAGAAATCATGGATGATTATTGGTCAGTCACTTTCAGAGAAATTGGTGACTTCTGGTGAGCTATCCAGAAAAGTCCTGTTCGGTGGGTGTTTGTTGAAAAATGACCACACATATATAAAATTGGCCTTATGAACAGAAAAGTCAGAAAAACAAACAAAAATACCAATAATAAACTGTTTGTGTAGGGTCATAAAAAAAAGATATTTAGGGCTCTTTGTTATAGTATAATTGACCTGTACATAAAGAGTAGTGAATATGTTTTTTTCAGTAAATCATTGTTTGTTTACAGGGGTTTATTAATGCCTAATATGGTTGCAGACAAGATGGGTGTTGCCAGGACAGATGTTGGAAACCTTGGTGCTGGAATATACTTCTCAGATAATCCTGGGTAAGTTTTCAGCAAGTCTTATATCTATTTTCGTCAAGCACATTTTGCAAATGTTGACAGAGAGGAATTGTATCATTTTTAGTTATTTGCCTTGTACATTTTAAATCTTGAATTAACTGTAAAATATGGAATCTGGTGCTTTTTTGTTCACTTTATGTTAACAAACTAAACTATATCTCTACCTATATGGCTGAAGATGACCAAAGTTAACAGAAAGTGTGTTTTTTTAACCCCAAAGGAAAATGATAAAAAATACCCATAAATACAAAAACAACAACAATCAAAACCCTCAGACAGGTGTATCTGTTAAAGGCAAATACACAGTTTTGTGAATGGGTTGTTTGTACATGTCTTGTAGCTAAATACACAATATTGTACATGAGTTGGTTGTACCAGTTTTAAAGGCAGTGAACACTTGCCCTTAACCGCTGTGGGTTAGAATCCCGACAGGGACTTTGGATTCTTTCATGTGAGGAAGCTATCCAGCTAGCTTACAGAACGTTGGTGGTTCTACTTAGGTGCCTGTTCGTTCCTGAAATAATGCACAGAAGGGTACCTCAGGTCTTCCTCCACCAGTAAAGCTGGAATGTCGCCATATGACCTATGATGTGTTAGTGTGATGTAAAACCCAATTGAAAAAACAAGCAAATTAAGGCAGTGAAAGGGCTGCACAGTTGAATATTTAGTTCTGATTATGTTTCAATGTGATAATCATATACAAAAAATATATTATCTATCATGTGTTTAAATACAAAGACTTATATACATGTGTATTTCAATCATATTTCAGGAAAAGCTCCCAGTATTCTACAGTGAATTCTCAGACTGGTACTAGGTTTATGTTGCTGTGTAACGTATCTCTAGGACACTGTTGTAAAATGTACCAGACTGACTTCACGATTACATCAGCCCCTGAAGGTTTTGATTGTGTACAAGGTGTGAAATCATCAAATGACAACCCTAGCTCATTTGAGGTAATAATAAGGATAGGTTATTGGCTATAAAATAAAATGTTTTTATAGTCAATGTATAATTTTGTTATATTTAAATGGATTGACTTCATATTGTAACACAACATTCTTTAGGATTAGACCTTCATGTATATCTAACTCAAATTGACCTTGGCTCTTTTATGACCTTGACCTTGAAGGTTGAATTAATTATTGAATTTTCACTGATTTTTGCTACATGTATAATTGACTGTAACTAATAATAAATTATCTTCTCACAAAACAACATTTTGGACAAGACCTTCTAAAAAGGTTGAAAGACCTTGACCTTTAAATGACCTTGACCATTAAGGTCAAATTATTGAATTTTTGTTAAATTTTCATAATTTTGTTATTTATGTACGGATTTGACTTATACTTGGTCAAAACAAGACTTGCAACAAAACAAACATATTGAATAATTTAGATATGATCTTGACCTTAAATTGACTTTAGTTTACATTTAGTGACTTTGACTGTCTATGTGAAATTAATGAAATTCTTTTTGTGTTTTCTGTAACTGGCCTAGACCTATTGAAATTAAAAAAGGAAAAGACTTAATTTTTTTTAATCAATTTTCTTTTTAAAGATTTCTTTTAATTGTTATTAATCTGCTTTTTAAAAAGTAAAAAGTCTAGCGTTGCCCCCATCAGGTGCTGGCTCTTGTTAACAAGATATAAAAATTTTTAAGTTTGAATTTTTTTAACAATATATTTTACCCATCTACAGGCATGCCCATTTATTTTTTTTTTTTTCAGGATAATGAATTTGTTATATACAACCCCAGTCAACAGTGTGTGAAATACCTGGTTGAGTTTTCTCTACCGGGAGACAATATTACAGAATGCCCAGATATAACAGATGGAGGTTTACAGGTCCTGAAAGGTTCAGAGGTCACAACTCAGGACACTCAACCTCAGACGTCATCAAATACTGATATTGGTATGTGAATTCATTATCATAGATAGATAGAAAATTTATTGACGTTTACATTAATTACATAGTCTTTGCAACATATATTCATATAGCATATTGAATATACAATATCATGGTACATGAACAAAAGTTTTAACCCTTTACCTCATGAGCATATTGTGAAAAATGAACGTTTTCATTGAAAAGCCTCCTGTTACAAGTTCAAACTGCTATGAAACTAAGAAAAATGCTTCAATTCTGATGAAACTTGGCACAAATGTTGACTGGACCATAACCTCTGTAACAACATGCTCAATCTTAAATTTCCTGTTACCATGGCAATGGGGGGACAGCTCAAATTGCCAAAAATCACTATTTGGCATTGTTTTTTTCAATCAAAACTGATTTCAAAGTGCTGCAACTTCTAAATGGATTGAGATAGAGTAAAAGGCTTTTCAGCGTTGGTTACACATTACCTTATGATCGACCTGAGGTCATTTTTAGTCTATCCCATGTCCGTAATTTCCTTGGCGAAGAGGGGGGCTGTTGGCCTCTTCAAACCCACGAAACAGAAGGGGACACACCCTCCTTATGTCAACCCCTTAATGTACCTTTTAATAGGGGTAGCGCCAAAAAAATGATCACTTCTCAAACGAAAAACAATGTTTGGGACCTAAAAAGGGCATTTTTTCACTGTTTGAAGCCTCAAAAGGGGTGGGGGGGGGGGGGGGGCGAAAAGCCGTCAAAGCACGTCTCTATGAAGTAAAGGGTTAAGCATAAAATATCCAATTTAAATGGAGAATTTAGTTGGAGTATGAACGTTTCCATTGTCTAGTAGCTAAGTAGAATTAACAACAATCATATAAATAAATATATCAAACTTATTTTGTTGTAAATTTCACGTGTGAATGGAAGGAAATACAGTAGAAACCTAATTTTCATATATAAGATTCACATAAGGAATCAAACTTCATTTTAGATAATTTCAGATTATTCAGATTATGTAGATTGTTTCATTTTTACAAAATCTCAGATTGTTTTGATCATACAAAAGTTAGATTATCCAAATTTTAAGTAAAACGAGATTGTTACCCATACATTTCAGAAGATTTCACATAAAGATGTATTTGTATTGTATAATTTTATAAACACATAGATTATTTCCCTTTTAGATATCTCAGATATTAAAGATGTGCAAGATCCTCTTGCCAAGGTTAAAGCAGGATTACAAGGCAACAAGAAGGAACATATCCCTCTTAAAAGTGTACATATCAGAGGTAAAATGATGGACATGGTGGCAAAGGTTTGTATACTATTATATTACCTTTAAAGTCATCTATAAAAATCTTTATCTGAATATATTAAAAAAAAATTATGCAAGATACATTCTTGTCTTTCAGTATGCAAAGATATGAAAATAAAGGTGTGGTCCTTATTAATCATTGAGAAATAATTTGATGAGTATAAACCCCCTAAACTCATGTAAGGTTACATGGCATGGTAAAAAGAAATATGGCATGATATTAAGAAATATGGCATGGGGATAAAGTAATATGGCAGGGGGTTAAGCTATTATTATGGCATGGTGTAAAGTTATATGGCATGGTGTTAAGCTATATGGCATGGTGTAAAGTTATATGGCATAGTGTAATGTTATATGGCATGGTGTAAAGCTATATGACATGGTGTAAAGTTATATGGCATGGGGTTAAGCTATATGGCATGGTGTAAAGCTATATGGCATAGTGTAATGTTATATGGCATGGGGTTAAGCTATATGGCATATTGTAAAGCTATATGGCATAGTGTAATGTTATATGGCATGGGGTTAAGCTGTATGGCATAGTGTTAAGCTATATGGCATGGTGTAAAGCTATATGGCATAGTGTAATGTTATATGGCATGGGGTTAATCTATATGACATGAGGTAAAGCTATATGGCATGGTGTAAAGTTATATGGCATGGGGTTAAGCTATATGGCATGGTGTAAAGCTATATGGCATGAGGTAAAGCTATATGGCATGGGGTTAAGCTATATGGCATGGTGTAAAGTTATATGGCATGGTGTAAAGTTATATGGCATGGTGTAAAGCTATATGGCATGAGGTAAAGCTATATGGCATGAGGTAAAGCTATATGGCATGGGGTAAAGCTATATGACATGGAATGAAGCTATATAGCATGGTGTTACGCTATATGGTTTGTAATAAAGTAGGTTTGATTCCATACAGGGGCCACAACCATGTTTCTTCATTTGATAACAGTACTTGTTAGTCCCTAGAAACTAACTTGCAAAAAAATTAAAATGAATAATGTTTAGATTGACACAGCATTATCATTTCATCTGCCCAGTCAACATCATGTTAGAAGTCCTAGGGTTCCCATCCAGTTATTTTAGGATTATCTGTAAGATAATAGTATATATTTTATATATTGATAGGTTGTGGTTTTACAAGCATACAGAAATGATAGTAGCACAGCTATAGAGGCCAAGTATGTGTTCCCATTAGATGATACAGCAGCAGTGTGTGGATTTGAGGCTTTCATTAATGGAAAACATGTAATAGGTATAGATTAAATATTTGTTGATAAGAATTACAATAATTCAGAAATGAAATCCCAAAAATTTAACCATATCAAGCAGTTTCCATGATGGCTAAGACTCCTTAACTTTCTAAATTAAATTTACATGAAGGATAAGACAAATTTAAATTTAAATATAGCTTTACCTAGGAAAACATGATAATGATAACATGATAATTGCTTTGTTAATAATGATAATTGTTGCCAGCTGATGTGTTAAGTTATTTGAAGTAATCAACTTTTATATCAACACTTTCAGGCGGCTTGTGTGGTAATACACAAATGTACTATGTTTAAAGTATGTATTTTCACCAGACAAGACCTTAAGTTGCTATGATAGAATTCCAAAAATTAAAAATGGTAAAAATGATTTACTGATTGATTTTTCTATTTAACATTTTGTAGGTGAAGTAAAAGAGAAGAGTAAAGCTAGGAAGGAATATAAAGAAGCTGTTGCCAGGGGTGATGGGGCATACCTTATGGAAGAAGAAACACCTGTAAGAATTATCAGTGTCTTTAATATTACATTCTAAAAATAGAAATCTGCATCTTAACTCAATGAGGAGAGTCTTGGATAAGTAATCCAAGGTTTACTTATTCAATCCTAGGGCAAGGTGAAATTTTTCCATTACAATTGATCTCAGACATAAGTCTACTCATCATTTATCTCTCACAATTAATTCAGAAATCATGTGTAATTAGTGGTCGGTCACTTGCAGAGAAATTGGTAGTTACTGGTTAGAAATCCAGGAAAGCCAGAAAATGGATTAACCACCAAAATATTACCAAAATTGGGTTAAAATCAGGATAAAAAGCAGAAAAAAAACAAAGTAAAAAGAATTTGCTTTTACAGATGATTATGCAAAATAATACAAAATTTGTTTTAGTTTGATTGGAAACGATGGCTTGCCCCTGATGGAGTTTGAACCCACACAGCCAACAATCGTTAGTTACTTATCAGATGTGTTAACCACTCAGCCATGCCACCACTTTAATTTCTTTCAGTGTGGAATGATCAATTCATTGAAACATTTAATTTTTCAGGATGTATTCTCAGTCAGTGTTGGTAATTTACCTCCTAAATGTGACGTCCTCATCAAGATCACATACGTCTCGGAGCTGCAGGTCCAAGGGGAGGCAATTGCGTTCACTGTTCCAGCTTCAGTAGCTCCATGGTTACGAGACGGAGCTCTGTCACAGAAGACACAGGTAATTAAATCATTTGATTACTATAGAAATAAATCAGTATTTCAGGACTGATTTATTTCCATCAGTCTGCCCTCTTAGCCCAATATTGAGAGCATCGGATTAAAATTCCAGGGGTTGCTAGTTTGATCCTAGGGCAAGGTGCAATTTGTCCGCAACAGTTGATCTCAGACATTGAGTCTTATGGTCATTAATCACATTTTATTGGCAAGACATGTGGAAATAATAGACAGTTGATTGGGGAGAAATGGTAATAACTGGTGAGTTATCTAGGACTGCTGAGATATGATGACCAAAATATGTGTTAAAATGGTAGTAAAAACCAGAAAAACAAACAAACAAAGATGCAAAATATTTTCATCTTGAGGGGAATAATAGCCTGATTCATATGAAACATAAAATGACATAGCAATTATTATCATAGGGTAACAGATAACATCAATATTATTAATATCTACCTTCATTTATTAAATATGTAAAAATAATTTAGGCCTACCCTGCTGGTGGTAACAGATTCTACTGATAAACAAAATCAAACAAAAGTTAGCATGGCCATCTGTTCTGTCTGATCATGGTCTGCATAGTTCACTTATCAGTCAGTATATACATGTATTGGAAATATTCCCATAAATATGACTAATGATTTTGTCCAGATTGTTATGGTTTCTTGTTTACATATTATTTGATATTACATATTTACGGTGATTTTTTTTTTCATTAATAATGCTAAGAACATGAAGAATGGCATTCTTCTTTTTTCAGAAATATTAATTGCTATAGAAATTATACTTTTCTCTATGTTCACAGGCAACAACTGAATCTGTTAAAGTGTCTGACAACAAGAGATGTGACATTTCTCTAATGGTTGCCATAGAGATGCCATTTGACATTAGGAGAATTTTCTCACCTTCCCACAGGGTCAAGTGGAAGGTAATTATGATAGCTTCCTTTTTAAATTTTGAATTCTTTAATTGCAATTAAAGTTGGTCCTTATTTTTGATTAAGGAAAAGTCATCAAATAATGTAAAATATAATGTTTGTTTAACCCATTAACCCATAACTTGCCGGAAAGAGGCATTTTACGGTTGGCTGACTGACTTTAATTTTCATCTTGATATCTCTAAAATTGATAATGAACAGTTCTAGAAATAGAAGCTGGACAATTCCATTTACGAAATTCGGGAGGGTAAAGGTTATGGAAGCAGGGAAACGAATAAAACTTACTGATTCCTGACGTTATAATTCCAGAAAACGGCAACAAAAGCAGTTGTCTCCCTTCCCAGAAGGAGTAGATTTGATGATGGTTTCCAGTTGTATATATATCTAGCTGAAGTCCATGTTCCTAGAATGTGGGTGGAGAAACATCCTACAGAAAATACTCAGGTAAGACATTTTAGTCTAGTGTTATTTCCATTTTAACTTTGTAGACAAGAAAATTACCTTAAGATAGAACAAACATTGTCATTACAAAAAGAAAAGAACAAGGATATGTTGGCAGAGGAGTAAAAATCTTCAAGTTCAAATTATGTGGTGGTCACTTCTGGGGTTACATTATGCATGGAATAGTTGATTATTTGAGACGTGTCATGACAAAACCAACATAATGGGTTTGCAACCAGCATGGATCCAGACCAGCCTGTGCATCCGCTTACAAACCCTATAACAAATAAAGAAACTGATAGCGAACAGCATGGATCCTGATCAGACTGTGCAGATGCGCAGGCTGGTCTGGATCCATGCTGGTCGCAAACCCCATTATGTTCATTTTGTCATGACACGGCTCATTTTATGTGAAAATTCTACTCTGTATCTAGCGATAGGTTCTACACAACTTGCTCCAGATTGAAAATAGAAATACATAGAGGTCTTTTTATTGGGACTTAAACACCAGGAAATGTCATTTAGATTTAATTACCAAAAATTTGTCATTGGGAATTTGTTATTAGAAATTGCAGGCAGTCAGATATATGGTATGTTTTTCTGTTTCACGGCCTACGCTTCTTATAGGAAGCTGAGCCCTTGTACAGTATTTCTCTGTTTAATTACTGTATTGTATTGTATATACATTTACATTATCATGTTTGTTACATTATCATGTTTGTATCACAGGCATGTATGTTGACATTCTACCCTGAATTTGAGACACAGTCTTTGACTGAGGCTAACATTATTATTCTGTTAGATATGTCTAATTCAATGAAAGGCCAACCTGAGGAGCAGGCCAAAAAGGTAAACTCGTTATTGAATCTTTTATATCTTCTTTTGTTTTTACACATATTTACAGATTAAGAAATTGTACATTCTACATTTTACCAACGAAAAATACTTATTTTTCTTCCTATGTTATATTTCAAAAAATCTTAACCTGCCTGAACAAAAAGTGATAACCCAGTGTTATCAGTATAGAACCATGTTAGCCAGCAGGCTCTTTATGGTTGGTAGCTCAATTTTTGTATTTTGTCTTTTTTATTTACTTGGACTGTTTCAAATTCAAATCTGGGCAAATTCGTTATGCAAATTGAGCAGGTTAATGGTTAACAGGTAGGATATACAAGAGATCTTAATGTAAAATTTATGATTTTGCTTTCAGTATGATTTCATGATGAATGACTGTCCAGCCAGTTTTAATTTTCAGATTGTCTTTTCTAATATACATTGTATATGTGTTTATCATGAACTAAAACTATTAAGCAATAATTGTTGATCTATTTCAGGTGGCCCTGTTAGCTGTTGACAATTTACCATTGCAGTGTAAATTCAACTTGGTCATGTTTGGTAGTACATATAAAGAATTGTTCCCATCTCCTCAATCATGTAACAACTTCTCCTCTCAGTTGGCAAAACAGTTCATCCAGGTAATTTGGCAAGATGCCAGAATTTTATATTTGTAATGACATTGTAGTCATGATTTCTGGAAGGTGGTCCTAAAGACATTTGACACAATGCGATCAATACTGTGCTTACTCTTATTTACTCTGAAATTGAAGCAAACTTTTACTATTAAATAGAAGTTAAAAAATAGAAAAATGTCGGGCATATAATATGTCATATAGTTTTTAAATATTTGGTAATTTTTGACAGATATTTCTTGGCTAAAAATTGTGTGCAATGTAAAGATAACGCTGATTACTGTATCTCATTTCCAGGAAGCTTCTGCAAATTTAGGTTCCACAGAATTGTTAGAGCCTCTTCATGCCACACAGATATTGTCGTCTGCTACAGTGTCGTCTGCTGATCAAAGCTGTCTGAACCTCTTTCTCATCTCTGATGGTCATGTGACTCAGGAATCTTCAATTCTATTGGCAGCTCAGAAAACTTCTCAGCAAATCAGAATTTTTACGCTTGGAGTCAGGTATTTTTTTGATGTTTTTTTCTAGCTGTTTCAAGGTCAGTACTTGTAAAACCATTTCACATATTATAATAATTAACCTTTATTTGTTATTTTTGATTTGTCTCTATTGAAGCCCACTTATGGTGAATACTTAATTATCTTAATTTTGGGTATGTGCGTGTTACTTCAGAAGTAAATTTTTAAGAAACAGATATTGCATAAACCTAAGTTTTCATATAGCCATAGTGGTTTACCCCTTTGAAAAAAATATCACCATTACTAGTGGACTCAGCATGCTGCTTTATGGCATCTATTTATAGATGTATGTTGCACTTGCTTGTAAAGTTTGAACAGAATTATAAGTGACTTTTATTGTCTCATGTTCTTTTAGCTCAACAGTAAATCATCATTTATTGCGGAGCATTTCATCTATAAGTGGTGGAACGTATCAACATTTTAATCCTGATACTAAGTCTCAGTGGAAAGGGAAACTACTCTCACAACTTGAAAAGGCATGCCAACTAAGTTTAACTAACGTACATGTTGATTGGATGCAGACCAATGACAAAGCCACACCTCCAACTCAAGCACCCAATCATATCCCTTGTCTATTTAGTGGTTGTCGGCAAGTTGTATATGGATTTGTAGAGAGCTGCACTCAGGTGAGAATTACATATATTTATAAAAGTTACATTTTCATTTTAAGGTATTAGCATCCTAATGCATTACCTCCGCTTTGAAGAGTATTCAAATAGGCTAGAACTACTGTTAACTACATTGAAAATGATGGCCATGGGTTCAATCCCCAGAAGGGTCAACTTTTTTTTTCTTTCTTTTTTTCTTTTAACATTATTTATGTATCTCTCATGTCCCATTTGGAAAGAAAAAAGTGTTTAATTTTGATTTTTTAATTTATATAGGTATTTATTGGCTAAATTATGCTAAATCTAGTAATAAATATGGTACCTGATATTTTCAAAGGGTAATATAATCAAAACTAGACGGTAGAAGTATTTCATATTTTACAAGATCAACCAATATACCTTTTTAAAAATTTAGGGAAACTTTGAAAACAGGCACTCATTTGGGTAAATTTTAAGAATTTTTTTAATTAGGCTCCCTAGTAGAAAAATGGTCAGACACGTGGTAAAAATGGGTGGGGTAGGGTAACATTTTTATACAGATTTCATAAATTTTAAGTAGAAACCATAATTTTGCTTATGTGGATTGTTAGCTGAATGGTACATTTTGTTTCTTACCAAAAATTAATGGGAAAACATTTTTCATTAGAATGTTATTGCAGATTATTTTAAAGGTTCCGCATTTCTAAAAAAGGGCCCTCATATCATCCTAGCTTGAGTTCAGAAAAGTGGCCATAACTTGATTTCCGTACGGTAAACTTTGTTTAAATTTTGCATACAGGTGTACTTTAAGGTATACATCTGACCTATGATGTCAATTTTTTAGTTTCTGATAGTGCCCATTAGGGTCCTTATACCTTAAGATTTTCTTTTTTGAAGAAAAATGTATTCCATAATTATCAAATACTTGTTTATCATGACAAGGTGCAGTTAATTAGGCAAGTGGTATTATTCTGAAAGCTACATTTATGCCCCTTTGTAACAGAAATGTGATGATTAACAAATCTTAAGAAAATATTTTCATTCATGTAATAATTAAAAAATTTAGTCATGCACCTTTCAAGAACTATGATTTATTGTTTCAAAATTATTACAAAATAGAAAAACTCATAATGCACATAAGAAAGTCCAGTAATGTTCAGTATTAATGCTATTTACAGGCAACACTGAAGGCCAAGGTTGGTAATAATGAAATATCTACAATGGTGTCAACTGTGGATCTCAATATAACAACTGGAACAGTAAGTTTTATTTCACCTCTCTGAAGTCCAGATGACTCAAAAATTTTCATGCAGTTATATGATAAACCTTTTGTTTGAACGTAATAAAGAAACACCAATATTATTAGGACTACCTTGGATGAGTGATAAAGTTTGTTGCCTTAAAATCACTTGTTCCTTCGCAGCTGTTGGTTGGAATTCCATCATGGACTTTGGATTCTTTTTTGTGAGGAAGCTATCTAGCTAGCTTAAGGGAGGTATATTTTTTGTTGTAAGGAGCCTATATATACATGTATATATACTGACAGAAAAATCACACAAAAAATTGGCTTACTGTCGCAGGGTCTTTGGATTGCCCGTCAAGTATGCTAACCACTTCATCACAGCGGCCATTGTGTTTTCTTCATGCTAATTGACCTTATATATTTAAGTTATTCGAACTTTATTATATACTTATTTTTACATCCTTATACATTTTGTATATATATATTTATGCAATGCCTGTGTATGAACTACAATAATCTGGTGACCGTTAGAAAACTACATTTATGTTTTTTATGAATGTGGTTTTTGATTGAAATGTTTAAAGCTATTCATTTTATATTAATATATAAAACTTGTTACAGATGTTACATCAGTTAACAGCTAGGGCAGTGATAACAGACTATGAGAATGGAACGCTCGATGATGACAGAATCAAACATCAGGTAAATTTATTTATATCACATTGCTGTTCTGCTTTTGCGACTCAGTTACAATGGTATGGCATGGTCATGCACGTATTTTGTCGTGGTTATAAAAATATGCTTCAAAATATGTTAATTTAAGTTACAATTCAATTAAAAAAATCATTGAATATTATGATTATATATATAATACAGGATTATCTTTTATAATGATTTAACATTAATGGAGTGTCCTTAATTGTTTTTTGTTAATTGCTCATTCATCATGGTTTATAAATCTATAAGGTAAGATTTTGAGATCTTTTTCTTCTATATTATGTGGTTTGTGGCGCTAGTAGGGGGGGGGGGGGGGGGGTGTTAAATGCAAATACGGTATCTTGTTGATTTTATGCTCAGATTATGTTTACATTCTTTTGAACAATAAAGCAAGGTAGCTTTCTCTAAAGGTTAGCATTGAAAGGTCCATCATGGCCATTTAGATTTATATACCATCTTTTAATTTGTTACGGAGAAAATTTAATCATAATTTGACATTAGTTTTTATCTATCATTCTTTTACACTTACTAGGTGATAAAAAATGAGAGGAAACAGTACATCATTGACTTGAGTAAGAAACACAGTATAGTGACTCCATACACCAGCTTTGTGGCAATCGAGGACAGGCATCAGGTAATATTGTGTGAAAACACAACTTCTTTACACTACCATGTGTTTTGAACTTTGTCAAAGGTTAAGATTATTATTCTGATTATTATTGTTTGACGTTTTTACATTTAAAGGAACTCCGCTGAGTTCCAAATATGTCAAAACATAAAGTTTGAATTTCTTACATAGATCAGCTTGGGCACTTAAATGCAAAAGGTAATTAAGAAATATACTCAGAAATAAACATAAGGAATCATATTTTAGTGCTATTCATAGCCGAAATTGAGTGAAAAGCATTGAAACAGTTTTCAAATTTGGGTCAATCTTCACAAATAGAATATATATTCTGGAAAGCTGAGTGAGGGAATGATCTTAAACTTTGCACAGAAATTATTGGTATAGACCTTCATTAAATAGAATATAGATTCTGGAGAAATTATTTTTAGCCTCACCAAAAAAAAACTCAGTGGAGTCCCTTTAACAGAACTTTTAAAGTAGGGCTGGGGCGAGTATCCGAGTACTCGGATAATCACGAATAAAAGTGAAAAATCGAGTTTGACTATTCGTAAGCCCAGAGATCGTGTATCGCGATCTAATTCTTTTTATATACATTCACTGTTTCTTACACTCTTAAAATCTAAAAAATACGAGTTGAGTATAAATAATATGAAGTTTACCTAAAATACAATAATTTATTATTTGCTGGTTAAAGACCATGTACCATGATGCTGAGCTAGGAAGTAATTGGTTTCAAAAAACAAAACAAAAATATTCATCCAAAGAATAAAAACATAAATCTATTTTATATGTTTAATGTTTATTATTGTTTTTTTTTATTTTATTAAACATGTTTTTATAACTAATGTACATGTTTTCTGAAATTCATGGGTGCCTTGATAACAAAAGATTTGTGGTTCGATTTGTGAATCGTTAGTGCTGAATCGTGGTTCGGATTGGATCGTCACTTATCCTACGATCCACACCCCTATTTTAAAGGGTAACACTGTTATTATCTAAGGCATTTAGTCAGCTGGAACTCTACTGTATGTATTTGGTGAAATAGTACAATATAAGCTTTGTAGCTAAATGTCTTGGTTACTATTTTCAGGATGAACATAATGTTTCCATCATTCCTTCTATAGCTGATCTCATTGAGAAGGAAACAGTGGACATTTTACCTTACATAAGCTGGGAACCAGGTGTTGAAGATAAAGATGAGGTATACAAAATATTAGTTAAAACATTCACTTCAGGTTGCATTATTGTACTGTTTTCAGTGATAAAGCAACATTTTTATAAGACCTATATATAGAAAATTTATTTTATACTAAAGGGTCTTGAACTGTTTTACAATTAGAATATGACTGATGCTAAATATTCCATTATAGATATTTTGTTTTTATAACAGATTAAAAACACTACATAATAAAATTTATTTAAACTTTTCATGATTTTAGAATATGAGAATAAAGACTTTTTATTGAGCTTATTGATATTCATCTTCATGATTATATGTGTTATTATTTTTTCAGGACCCAATAGCTGTAGTGAAAGATATTATTAAGAGAGGTGAGATTCAGGAAAGTTGCTCTATGGTTCAGGCAGAGGATATATACAATAGTTTGTCTGAGTATGTTGATGATATAAAAGCGGATGTTGAAACTCTAGAAATGGTGAGTACATAATTGAGCAACGCCATCACAAAACCAACATAGTGCGTTTTCAACCAGCATGGATCCAGACCACCCTGCGCATCTGTGCTGGATCCATGCTGTTTGCTTACAAACCCTATCACAAGTAGAGAAACTGATTGCAAACAGCATGGATTCTGATCAGACTGCGCTGCGCAAACGCACTATGTTGGTTTTGTCATGGCGCAGCTCAAATATATTATTAAGAGTGTTAAATTTTCAAAGCACATGTTCCTTGTTTGGAGGAGTGTTAATTGTTAACTGTGTTTAACTTAAAAAAAACAAAAACAACATGATTCATGCATGGGATAAGTCAAATGAAATAAATGACTCTTGTTAATTTAGTTTTGCATGATAAAGAGGCTAAATAAAGGCTTTGTATTTTGCTAAACTAAAACTAGTTGCTAAAACTTGACAATTTTATCTTTAGAATTTTTCAAAAAAAAAAAAAAATAAATAAAAGAATGGAAGATTTCCTCCAAACAGCTCAACTTAATAAGTTACATATGACTTTTCTTGAAAACTGATGATAAATGAGAATAATGTCTTCTATAAGGTTGCATTTATAGTATTTATTGATTACTTGATTTTACCTTAAAAAAAGAAATCAAAATCAAGTTGGTTTGTACTTTATTAGTCCCCTACCGGTTTACCGGAGGGGACTTTAGGTTTACCCTCCGTCCGTCTGTCTGTCCGCACTACCGAATAAGGAAAGGGGGCAATCTAACTGTAAACAGAACAAAAGAGAACAATAGAGTTCATTCCGTAACAATAGAGTAAGGGGCCATTGGCCCTTTATTAAACAATAGAAAATAACAAAAGAAATGGCCCCTTATTCCATTTCGGCCGGATGTCCGTCTGTCTGTCCATCCGTCCGTCAGTCCGTCCGTCCACAAAACTGGATCCCGCGATAACTTGAAAAGTACTGAAAATATTTTTATGAAACTTGATTTATGGATAGATGGCAGTATGGAGATTATGCACGTCTTTTTCTTTTCTTCCTATGTTGAAAATTCTGGTTGCTATGGCAACAAATAGACTGAAAATATGGCAAATTTTACACATAAACTGGATCCAGTGTTAACGCAAAAAGTAATAGAAATATTTTTATGAAACATTTTTATATGGATAGATGGCAGTCTGGAGATTATGCACGTCTTTTTCTTTTCTTCCTATGTTGAAAATTCTGGTTGCTATGGCAACACATAGACTGAAAATATGGCAAATTTTACACATAAACTGAATCCAGTGATAACTCAAAAAGTACTGGAAATATTTTTATGAAACTTGACTTATGGGTAGATGGCAGTCTTGAGATTATGCATGTCTTATCTGTTCTTCCTATATTGAAAAAATATTGGTTGCCTTGGCAACAAATAGGCTTAAATCATGGCAAATATAACAATATTTGTGATAAGTCAAAAAGAGCTGAAATTTTTTATGAAATTGCATCTTTAATTCAAGAGTTATCTCCTCTTTAAGAATTTTGCTTTTTAATAATGTTATATTTTTTGGTAACAGGGATGTTTTCAAATATTAACTTAGAGTGTCCTTCAGTCCATCTGTCTGTTCTGTTCATAAAAAACTGTTTCCTGTGATCACTTTTAAAGAACTTTTCCAACAAATGGCCCTTCAGAATGTTGATGGGGTTCTAACCGGTAGGGGACTTATGGATTGCTTGCAATACTATGATAATTGCTTGTTTACACTTCTTTTTGTTTAATAATTTATGTTCAAACACATATTTGGCTATCTATCGGTTAATTTAATCTGTTTGAGAAGTAATCACTATGACAACAAGAAGTACAGTAACGGCTAATATAGCCACTAAAACACCCACACAATATATTTTATGTTTCCTCGTAATTGACTGATATTTCTTTGCTTGCTTTAATCCAACATTTGCTTCTTGCACATAGTCCACACTGTTCTCCACACATTTCTCTATGGTATCAATTTTTTCACCTTGCTCTTTTAGTAAACTATTAACTTCTTTAAATAGTTGATTCACTTGAATCACGCTTTCTTCAACTTTCTTTATCTGCTTATCTCTAGCCTTGATTTCACGTAGTTCCGCTTTTGCTTCCTCAGCCTGAGCAAAATAATCGCCTAGGAACTCGGCAGGTAATGGGGAGTGGGTTTTGTCATGGTCGTCATGGTGATCATCATCATGTCCTGTCATTATATCGTACTCCCTCTGATGTAATTGTTGGGTCTTTTCTATATAATCCACTTGTGCCGCTCTGAAATCATTTCTCGCTTTCGTTAAATCACTTTCTAATTTGTTTAGATGGTTTTTAATTACAATTTCATGAGACTTTTGCATCTGCATCTGACCAACCTCTGCTCGATATTCACTTATTTCTTTCTGTATCGCAGCCGATGTATTGAATATCAAATCAGATGATCTTTCGAGCTGTACAACTTCCTTGTGATCTAATAATGGATTTGCTATGATGTCTTTTTGCAGGTGCTCTAAATGTTCTACGTCATTTGTTATTGCGATTATCTTTTTACTTATTTGTGTAACTTTATGGAGACATAAGTCAAGTTGTATTTCAGAGTTTGAATAACGTGCGACAATTTTACCTTCTTCTGTCTGGTGGTCGTCATTCTTGCAAAATTGTTCGTGCTTTTCCTGTAACTCTTTCAGTCTGTCACGTACCATTTTGTGTGAGTAATATCTTCAATGATTGAAGCATTCCCTTCAAATCTATACAATAAGAGAGAATGGAAATATACATCAAACATAAAAGACCTGTAGCTGAATAGATCAGATATGTAGCAATGTGTATAAGGCCCCTTCAAAACTTAAATATACATATTGCCTGAGGGGTCTGATAATGACATTTGAAAATTAATCCTGAAGAAAAAAAACGAACAAACAAACAAACAAAAAAAACTCAAATTTATAAGATATAGTGTATCAAATCAAACATATGCCATTTAATAACCTACTTTGTCAGAATGATATTTGAAATTTGCTTTGGGAACTATATTTAAAAATGCTGTAATAACATGATAAATCATAGTAACTTTGTTTATATTTTGGTATACAGTAAAAACTTTGAAAACTGGAACCTCTGAAAACCAGAATCCTCTAAGAATCAGATGATTTAAAAAGTCCCATATTTTCTACTTATATGTTCATTGAAAAAATTCCTCTAAATACCGGAACCTCTGAATTCCGAAAACCGGACGATTTTCTGCGGCTAATAATGCTAAATGTGCATAAAAAATCCTCTGAAAACCGGACAGCAATTTAAGTGTCAACATTCTGTGTATTTTAATGTGGCCCAACAAGTGACATATTCAATTACCAGATAATGGACATTGACTTTTTAACTACCGGTATGCAAGTCTGAAAAACACTTTTTAAGTGTGTGTTAATTTCTTATTATAGCTCTTTCTTCATAATTGTGTCTTTCCCTGTATAGGTATGATTTTAATAGGTATAACATTTCAAAATGTTTTAATTTGTTGGGTTTTTTTTTTATATAAAATGACGAAAACAGTTGTAGAACTCTTATTAAATTATTCATATTTTGCTTAAAATTTTGAAGTGATCTTTATTTGGGCATTAATTTATGCAAAAATATTTTTAGATAAATACATTTCATTATTTTAAAGCCAATTAATAAGTTATATTTTAGATAATGTATTTTTTTTAATTTCTAATTTTCTGAATTATTATCATGAATTTGCGTAGAAAAATTACTCAGGACATTTACTGCAAAAAGAAATTAAAATATGACTTAAACAAAAGATTTAAAGTAAATACAAAATGATTTAAACACAATGTTAAAACACACATCATAATTATCAATAAATGTATAAAACCTCTGAAAACCAGAATCCTCTGAAAACCGGACTTTTGGTCAAGTCCGGACAGGGTCCGGTTTTCAGAGTTTTTACTGTATTCTTTCAAACTTAAATATAAAAATTTACATATGGTGTTTTATAATTGGTGGCTCACAGAGAAATTGGTAAAATTTTTGATCTAATTCATCAAGGAAAGCCTGACTAACTAAAAGTAAGTTATATCACATAATTACCTGACTCGCAAACAAACAAACAAACATGACTTTTTAAAACCAATTTTTTTAACTGTCCTTAAATATAATTTCCTTGCTAAATACAAAGGCATATCAAATTTAACTAAAAATTTTACTTAACATCTTTTATGTATGCATGGTGATCTAAAAAATTTCCTTTTTAAAAGGGTGGAAACACCCAGGTTCATAAAATTCTGTTATATATACATGTATGATAGATATGAAAAGTGGTAAAGTTTTCATACTTTAAATTTCTGCATTTTAAGAATTGACAAATATAAACCTTGCAAGATCATTCTCAAAATGTTCTCTTTAAAGCAGCTTATCCCCAGATGAGTGAAATGAATCATAAACTAATCATTAACTCAAAAGACTCAGGAAAATTTCTATAGATATCCTTATTAATTTATAATGAAGGTTATTTTCACTGAGTGGAGCAGTATTTTTATATTTTAGGCAGTTTTATATCTTAGGCAGTTTTATATTTTAGACAGTTTTATATCTTAGGCAGTTTTATATTTTAGACAGTTTTATATCTTAGGCAGTTTTATATTTTATGCAGTTTTATATCTTAGGCAGTTTTATATCTTAGGCAGCTTTATATCTTAGGCAGCTTTATATCTTAGGCAGTTTTATATCTTAGGCAGTTTTATATCTTAGGCAGTTTTATATCTTAGGCAGTTTATATTTTATGCAGTTTTATATCTTAGGCAGTTTTATATTTTATGCCGTTTTATATCTTAGGCATTTTTATATCTTAGGCTATTTTATATTTTAGGCAGTTTTATATCTTAGGCAGTTTTATATTTTAGGCAGCAGTTTTATATCTTAGGCAGTTTTATATCTTAGACAGTTTTATGTCTTAGGCAGTTTTATATCTTAGGCTGTATTATATCTTAGGCAGCTTTATATCTTAGGCAGCTTTATATCTTAGGCTGTATTATATCTTAGGCAGCTTTATATCTTAGGCAGCTTTATATCTTAGGCAGCTTTATATCTTAGGCTGTATTATATCTTAGGCAGCTTTATATCTTAGGCAGTTTTATATCTTAGGCAGCTTTATATCTTAGGCTGTATTATATCTTAGGCAGCTTTATATCTTAGGCAGTTTTATATCTTTAAGGCAGCTTTATATCTTAGGCAGCTTTATATCTTAGGCAGTTTTATATCTTAGGCAGTTTAAATTTTAGGCAGCTTTATATCTTAGGCAGTTTTATATCTTAGGCAGCTTTATATCTTAGGCAGTTTAAATTTTAGGCAGTTGTATATCTAAGGCAGTTTTATATTTTTGGCAGTTTTCTTAGGCAGTAGTTTTATGTCTTAGGCAGTTTTAATTTTAGGTAGATTTATATTTTATTCTAAGTGTTTGCCAATAACAAGTATTGGTCAATCACCATTATATAATAATTGTTATTCTCTTGAAATACATGTATAGAGCTAACATGTACAGAACAACCTGACAACAACAAAAAATGAGCACAATGTCACTTTAAGATATGTAAGAATTTTACTGAAATGTTATTAAATGGAATATAATATAATTATGGAGTAAGAGAAATTTCTGCTTAATTTGATACTTAGTTACAGTTAATTTCTCGGGATAATAAGTGTATAAAATTAATCACTTGATTTACTTTTTGACAGCATTTTTTATGCATTACAGTAATTTTTAACAATTTGATGATTAACACACATCTGAAAGGATGCTGCCTTAATAAACCTGATTTTTCCTGGAACATTTTTCATGTCTATTTTAGGTGCTGTTAAATTATTAAAATTGTCATACTACTGACAAAGTGCTATAATAATAGTTACAGTTTCAAATGTAAAAGAAAATCTGATATTTTTTTAATGCTAAGGATAAAAATTGTTTAAAATCTTTTTCCTTTACCTGCCAGTACCAAAAGTGATTAGCCTTCACCATCACTTTAGGACCAGACTTAGACATGCACATCCATGCAGTCTGACCTCAGACTCTGACCGGAGTTCTCAGACCAGACTCTTTAGCAAAGTTTTTGCATATTAGTATTGAAATTCTGTAAAATTTAAATTGATTGTTCTGAATTAAAAGCAGGGTCAATACATCACCACATTTTAGCTGGTTTTGAGTGAAATAATTTGAAACTTTAAAATATTTGTGACCTTTAGGATTCAATTTTAAATTATCATAGTACATTTTAAATAACTTTTAAGAATAATGATACTTTATGTAAAGACTTACATTTATTTTCCTTATGATAATAGAGCATTAATAGTTATAAAATTACCTGTAAATTAAATTTTCTATATCCTTATCAAGTATGTCATTAACAGTGATGTTACTTCCTTTTTGAAGAAAAAAAAAACACACAAGAACAACAAAATATTTACCTTAAAAAGGCCACTGATAAAGAATGTTAGTGTCCGAGTGCATCATTAAAAAGGGTACATGTATTATAAAATTCACATTTTATTCATTGGAAAATTTAAGATGGAATTATAGAGACTGTCACGAAATGAAATGATTAGTTATTTATTTTTAGCCAGATTTTATACATTGTTTCAGTAGGTAAACCACAGTAATTTAAACACTGAAACGTTGAGGATGAGGAAGTTTTTGGGACCAACATTTTCAGATTCCTTTGAGAATTACCTATAGATAGCCTTTGCTATGTACCATGTATGTTATTTTGAAATGAAATTGAAAATTTCATAAAATATGTGGGTAAATTCCATTCTGAGTTGTTGGAATTTGATGTCAGGTTTTTCCCCCTTTTCTGATTAATTGTGCTATATTTTCTTTCCCCTTCAGGAAGCCACAAGTTGTTTTGAAAATTGAAAAAAAAATCACTTTTAGTTAAAACTGAGCCTTATAACGTTCTAGGGAAGAGGGCTCTTTGGAAGAACAGATGAGCCGCGTCATGACAAAACCAACATATTGGGTTTGGGACCAGCATGGATCCAGACCAGCCTGCGCATCCTCGCAGTCTGATCAGGATCCATGCTGTTCGCTGTCAGTTTCTCTACTTGTAATAGGGTTTGTAAGCGAACAGTATGGATCCTGATCAGACTGCGCGGATGCCCAGGCTGGTCTGGATCCATGCTGGTCGCAAACCCATTATGTTGGTTTTGTCATGACACAGATCAGATGATTTAGGATTGTGTTTAAACACAGTTATTAAGTGCATGTAAAATGTTTCATCCTTCAAGTGTTGAAGTAGTAACTTTGCCTAGCAGTAATAACAATAAACTCCTGCCATCAGTATAGAGTCAGACCATCAGGCTGATCAATTTTAGCATTTTGATATTGAAATCACCTAAATTGCTAATGGATTGTTCCAAAATACAAAGCAGGAAGAATCCATTATAAAAAAACCAACAACAGCAGGGTATTGGAGGATTAAAGATTACAATCCAAAAAAATAGAGAAAAAAAAAGTTTCAATTCTTTTGTTACCATGCTATTGTCGTAATACATTGTAGATAAATAACTTCCCAACTATAATAAGTTTTAAACTGATACTATTATTTGAATCATGTAAAAATAGAAGAGATGGTAAAATATAAACAGGGTTTAAAACAATAAAAATCTAATTTCTTCCTGCTTTACAAATATTTTCAGACCTAAGTGTATAAATAAATAGTTAATGCATTGTATTAAATAACAAAACAAAACCAAAAAAAAATCAAAGCACACAATATCAGAAAGGTGAAGGTTGTGAGATTATAAACCAATTTGTTTTTGTATAGTGCCACCAATGTTTTCCATTGTGTTAACTGTAATAAATTCGCTATAAGACAAATTGCAACACTGATATGTTTATTTGACTTAAACAATTAAAAAAAAAATTGACTTGCCTTAACTGGGATTTGAACTCCAGACCTCTCGATTCCTAAGTGAGCATGCAAACCCCTTGGCCATGGTGAAGTTATATGTTAACGGCCTGAAGAAAACCATATCATTCTAAATTAGGGTTTATAACACTTATTATTATTTTGACACTAAACCTGTTGTTTAACACAGATGTAAATAATCATGGAGCTTACAATAAGCATGTATATCTATAAAGAATAAAACAATATTAGAAATCTTCGACCATTCGGGAACTATTTTGCTTGAAAATTAATGCGCCTGTCATTTGACAATCTTTATGCAGTGATCTTCCCTGAATTTTTCGGCGTTAGTGTACATATAAAGGGAAGTAACCGCTTCAAAAAAGGGGACTCTGTAACCTTCGGCATTTGCAATTAACAGCATCAGGGTCTGAAATTTGGCTACCTTTATTTGTTTGGTCTGACGACCCAAACAAATAAAAATATAAGAAAGTATAATTGAAAATAGAAATATTCTGAGGTCAATGGAACAAAATCACACTTTACTGACATGAATATCTTTTAGGAAAGAAATTGATAATTTTTTTTATTAAATTAACCTTTGACTCATGACTGATTGTATTTGATGAAATTATTCTAAGGGTCATAAACTGTGTCAGGTGCACATGGAAAAAAATACATCTGGCTATTAAAACAGCAATAAAACAAGAAAAAATACTATAAAAATGAAACTTAAAAAAAAGTCCTTTTAAATTGATGTTTGATCCTTAATACAGTTTGTGAAGATATTACAGGAACTGCTAGAACTATTTATAGATATAAATGTATTATTGGGTAATTATTTTACAGGAACTGCTAGAACAATTTATAGATATAAATGTATTATTGGATGATTATTTTACAGGAGCTGCTAGAACTATTTATAGAAATAAATGTATTATTGGGTGATTATTTAACATGGGCTGCTAGAGATATTTATAGATATAAATGTATTATTATGTGATTTTTTTACAGGAACTGCTAGAACTATTTATAGATATAAATGTATCACTGGGTGATAATTATGCTCCCCGAAAAAATTCGGGGGAGCATATAGTCGCCGGGTTGTCCGTCCGTACCTACGTCCCAAATGGTTTCTGATCAATAACTAAAGAACCCTTAGGCCTAGGAACTTCAAACTTGGTATGGTGATTGGTCATGGCCAGCAGATGACCCCTATTGATTTTGGGGTCAAGGGGTCAAAGGTCAAGGTCACATTGACCTTGCAGGTAAAAACGGTTTCCGATCAATAACTAAAGAACCCTTAGGCCTAGGAACTTCAAACTTGGTATTGTGATTGGTCATGGCCAGCAGATGACCCCTATTGATTTTGGGGTCAAGGGGTCAAAGGTCAAGGTCACATTGACCTTGCAGGTAATAAACGGTTTCCGATCAATAACTAAAGAACCTTTAGGCCTAGGAACTTCAAACTTGGTATGGTGATTGGTCATGGCCAGCAGATGACCCCTATTGATTTTGGGGTCAAGGGGTCAAAGGTCAAGGTCACATTGACCTTGTAGGTAAAAACGGTTTCCGATCAATAACTAAAGAACCCTTAGGCCTAGGAACTTTAAACTTGGTATGGTGATTGGTCATGACCAGCAGATGACCCCTATTGATTTTGGGGTCAAAGGTCAAGGTCACATTGACCTTGTAGGTAAAAACGGTTTCCGATCAATAACTTAAGAACGCTTAGGCCTAGGAACTTCAAACTTGGTATGATGATTGGTCATGACCAGCAGATGAATCCAATTGATTTTGGGGTCAAGCAGTCAAAGGTCAAGGTCACATTTACTTGAAGTTAGAAATGATTTCCACTCAGTAGATAACCCTTTTGAATTTTTTGTTCACTGGGTCAGAAGTCATGCATAATAACCTGATCACATGACTAATTGGCTGCCCATAGGGGGCATACATGTTTTACAAACATATTTTGTTTCAAATACATTCACAGTATATTTTTTAATACTTTTTGTTTACAATGTATTTTTCCATTTTCAGTTCCCCAGTTGATCTGTGTAAGAAATTCAAAATATATATTTTTATTAGCCTTTTGGACCTGAATAGAGTTCCTTTAATTAACCTCTATAATTTGAAAAGGCAAAAATAGATTGCTTGAATTACCAGCAACCACCACTGAGGTCAAGGTGACAAACATCACTAAACCGAAAAAAAAAGATAATTCCATTGTTCTTAATTTATTGAATTTAGGGGCCATTAAATAACCATTCACCTGCTACGTTTAACCCTTTCACTGCCATAGGAATGGCATATACTGTCCCTATTATTTTCGGTGTATTTAATGCCATATGGACGGCTTTTGCTGTTTCTATAATAATAATAATAATCATAATAATAATAATAAATATATAGATAATTATACCATCGACAATAATTATTATATACTAGCAGATTTGGAAACATATATAATTATTATAATACTAATAACAAATAATAATAATTATATAAATTAATAATATAGTAATTTCTTAGAAAAGCTTCTGGCAAAAAGATGATAAATAGATAAATATCTCTCTGGCAGCGAAAGGGTAATAATAGACTTTTCCAGCTGTAATCCTTCAAAACTGCCCATTATCAACTTTTAGAGGTATCAAAATGTAAACTTAGTTAATCATCCAACTGGAAAGAACCTGGTCACTGGTCAGACTAAACAGATATGCAGACTGGCTTAGCTCTATACTCATAGCAAAGGCTAATCTCTTTTGGTTCCCGGTTATAGGGTAATTGAATTATTTGATTTTTTTTCTGTTTAGGTATATGACAAGTTGGGAACATTCTATAAACAGAATCAAGCTGAAACAATTGGAAAAATTCTTGCCGAAATGGAAGGTAAGTGAACAAAATGCAATTTTATGAGAAAAAGAATTAATTATTTTTAGCTCGACTTTTCTATGAAAAGGGGAGCTATCCTACTCGCCCCGGCGTCGGCGTCGGCGTCACACCTTGGTTAAGTTTTTCGTACCACCCCACTTTATTTCAGAAGTATTACAAGTATGGCTTTGAAACTTACCATACTTGTTCACCATCATAACCTCCATCTACAGACAAGAGTACATAACTCTGTCAAGGTTTTTGACAGAATTATGGCCCTTTTTTGACTTAGAAAGTGTATTGAGCTTGGTTAAGTTTTTTGTACCACCTCACTTTATTTCAAAACCATTGGAGGTATTGCTTTGAAAACTGACCATACTTGTTTACCATCACGACCTTCATCAACAGACAAGAGGACATAACTCTGTCAAGGTTTTTGACAGAATTATGCCCCTTTTTTGACTTAGAAAATACATTGAATATGGGTAAAATCCACTTATTGCCTTAACCCTTTGAGATATTGCTTTGAAACTTTTAATGCTATTTCACATCATTACCCCCATCTGTACGCAAGAGAAGGTAACTCTGTCAAGGATTTGTTTTTAAAAATTAAGGCCTTTTATCGACTTAGAATCTTGGTTAAGTTTTTTAGTACCAGTCCACTTGATGAAATTTTATCTATTACTTGTATTATAAGGTAACTATAATACTTTCACATTACAAAGTCAAATCTATATATTATGCTGATTTGTACAAAAATATACTGCTTCCTTGGCATAGATTTCTTGAAAAATTATGTTATTATGTCATTTACCAAGGTGTTCTGAGTGACGTAAAAATACCTTATTCTCTCAAAGTGGGTTTAATACTATTAAATTTATTTAAGGCTCAACTCAGTTTTTTTTTCTTTCTTACCAGCCCCTCTTTTGACTTAAACATTTCAAAACTTTTGCTGCAGTGTTCAAGGGTATCACACAATTCAGTAAAATAATTCTTCACTAAATATCTTAATGCTCATGGCCATTGTTCACTTTAAAAATACAGAGATTCTTGTATTGCCTTTTACTGCAAAAACTTTTTTTATTGGCAAGCAATAAAAAAGTCGAGCGCGCTGTCTTACGGACAGCTCTTGTTATATTACATGTAGTTATATTTTACTTTACTCAGTGAAAGACAGTAGTGATAATTAAATATTTCTGTTCTTTCTTTCAACATTTTTTGTTTTACCAAGCTCTGTGTGGTATCAACAATTTATCAAATTCTAAACCAGATAATGGATTTTGACCAAACTTCACATGGATGATTCATAACCAACGTTTAATGTTTAAGTAAATAGTTTTTGTCGATGCAAACTTTAGTTATTTGAGCTATAAATAGACTTTATTAATGAAATCTTAAAACTTAGATATTTTGTATGTAGTAACATTTTGTCTTCTACAAGAGGTTATACAAATATAAGCCCAAGATCAAAATTGGCCCCTTCTTGGATTTTTTACATAGACTTATGTGAATTATATGTGAATTATATATTATGAATTGATTGTGACTTAAACTTGATTAGTTTTTGTGTCATATATCGAAACATGTTCATAGCCCCAATTTTTTTTAATGGCTTGCACTTTCAACTTCTGGTTTTAGAGGCAGACAGATTACTTGTTAGGCCATTTTCTCTTCTTAACAAATATTATTATGAGCCGCGCCATGACAAAACCAACACAGTGCGTTTGCGACCAGCATGGATCCAGACCAGCCTGAGCATCCGCGCAGTCTGATCAGGATCCATGCTGTTCGCTATCAGTTTCTTTACTTGTAATAGCATGGATCCTGATCAGACTGCGTGGATGCGCAGGCTGGTCTGGATCCATGCTGGTCGCAAACGCTCTATGTTGGTTTTGTCGTGACACGGCTCAATAAATATTTGAAGTGTGAATTAAGACCATTCTATGATTTCAGACAGCACAATTGCTTGTCAGTTAAAGAGACTAAATGATCTGTCAGAGAATGATTATGAGGCCTATACTAAATACAGATCAGAACTAAGGGACTCTTTATGTGATAAAAGACACCTCAAGAATGTGCCTGATTGGTTGTTTGAAGACGAATTAAGAAATGGAAAGGAAACTATGGAGCTAAATGGTGAAGAACAAAATGGCATGGGTAAAGTATCTATAATATTGTAAATTTTATTATTTCATAAACTAGTTTAAATACAAGTGTTTAGGTATGCTTTCATGTATGAATGTGATCAAATAAGGGTGATTCCTTTCAGCAGGTTAAGTTGCAATTAAGATTTTTAATAAGAGATTTATGTATATGAATTTTTTTGATTAAAGACTAAAAATAGCATTGCATTCTTTGGGTCGACAGAACAAAGGTCTGAAATTGTTAGAGAAACATAAAAAAGTACGGAAAACATTAATGTGACTTGTAAGCTCAGCTGAGGGTGTGGATGCTTGCAGGATTAAGGAAGGTTGGGGGATCTACTTTTTTACAGGCCTGTGCCTGAAATAATACATGGTGGGACAGCATAACTTAGTTTTCCTCCATCAGGGAAGCTTGAATGTTGCTATGGAATCATTAAAATCCTGCCAAAAAAGTGTTGTTATGGTTTGTTACATACTATTCATTCACCATATTGAATGATATATGCAAACATGTTTATACTAATGAAGGGCCATGATAAGCTCAATACAGAAAACTGTGGATACATAATTAGTTTCCAGTAATTTCATGAAAGACCAATTCAATCATGGAAAGAGATAGATCCATCCCCTTTCTAAACAAACAACAAAGAAAACCAATAACAAAAAGCAAGCCAAAACACATTTAAGATGCACAATTTCTCAATTAGTAAATTAATTTTTTAGTTGACTGGAATGTTGCTTAGCAATACCACAAAAATCATGTTTGAAATGCATAAATAATTACTCTTTAACACATACCTGTGCTGTTTTTGCAACTCTGTGAAATGGTATAGCATGGTCATGCATATATTTTGATGGACTTCATTAGCATTTTACAAACATAATGTTAAGACTTGGTTAATGTTAGCATTACATTACAAGCACTTTAATGAAAAAACGATTCATTTTTACTGTAAACAGTTTTGATTTTAGAAAAATAGAATATTTAGAGGCAGGCATGATATAGTTTTTCTACTCTTTCAATAAATTCAGTATTGAATGTACTCTCATTTAGTATCCCCTATATATGTTTTGTGTTTAAATATTTATTATCCCCCGCCGATGGAATCAGGAGGGGGATATAGTTTTGGTGTTGTCCATCCGTCCGTCCCGCCGATGGAATCGGGAGGGGGATATAGTTTTGGCGTTGTCCGTCAGTGCATCCGTCCGTCCGAATTTCGTTTCCGGAGTAGTTCTCTGCAACTACTGGCTGGAATTCAACGAAACTTTATGGGAATCATCAATATCAAGAGGAGATGCGCATATCGTTGGCTTGTTCCGGTCCGACCCTTTAACTCAGAGTTATGGCCCTTGATTAGTTATGTAGTATGCATATAGAGTAAAAATCATTTCCGGAGTAGTTCTCTGCAACTACTGGCTGGAATTCAACGAAACTTTATGGGAATCATCAATACCAAGAGGAGATGTGCATATCCTGGGCTTGTTCCGGTCCGACACTTTAACTGAGAATTATGGCCCTTGATTAGTTATGTAGTATGTATATAGAGTAAAAATCATTTCCGGAGTAGTTCTCTGCAACTACTGGCTGGAATTCAACGAAACTTTACAGGAATCATCAATACCAAGAGGAGATGCGCATATCGTCGGCTTGTTCCAGTCAGACACTTTAACTCAGAGTTATGGCTGTTGATTAGTTATGCAGTATGCATATGGAGTAAAAATCGTTTCCGCGCTACTTCTCTGCAATTATACTGGCTGGTATTCAACGAAACTTTATGGGAACCTTCAATAATAAGAGGAGATGCGCATATCGTCGGCTTGTTCCGGTCAGACACTTTATATCAGAGTTATGGCCATCAATGGGAATCATCAATATCAAGAGGAGATGTGCATATCCTGGGCTTGTTCTGGTCAGACCCTTTAACTCAGAGTTATGGCCCTTGATTAGTTATGTTGTATGCATATAGAGTAAAAATCGTTTCTGCGCTACTTCTCTGCAACTACTGGCTGGAATTCAACGAAACTTTATGGGAACCTTCAATATTAAGAGGAGATGCGCATATCGTCGGCTTGTTTTGGTCAGACACTTTAACTCAGAGTTATGGCTGTTGATAAGTTATGCAGTATGCATGTGGAGTAAAAATCGTTTCTGCGCTACTTCTCTGCAACTACTGGCTGGAATTCAACGAAACTTTATGGGAACCTTCAATAATAAGAGGAGATGCGCATATCGTCAGCTTGTTCCCGTCAGACACTTTATATCAGAGTTATGGCCCTTGATTAGTTATGCAGTATCCATATAGAAAGATATTTGTTTCCTCGCTACTTCTCTGCTTCTACTGGCTGGAATTCAATGAAACTTTATGGGATACTAAGAGGAGATGTGCATATAGTAGCCTTGTTCCCGGTCAGATACATATAACTCAGATTTATGGCCCTTGATTAGTTATGTAGTATGCATACATCTCATTGGCATTTCCAGATTTTACTATTTAACACAAAATTATGGCTCTGTTATTGCCCTAAATATTTATCAAGTTCAAAGAATATTACTGTTTATGCCATGATTAATATATAAATAAAGCCTTATGTCTTCAGTTGTTGTGTTAATAATAACCAGTACTCGGCAGGGGATATAAATTCAACGAATTTGCTTGTTAATTATGTATATGTATGTTTAAAATATACTATTAATGTAGAGATAGATTTAAAACTTGATCAGTGCATCAGTCAAATTAAGATAAGGGTGTCCCTAGCTAACTGTTAAGGTCTCAAGTTAATCTCAAACAACATGTCATTCACCTCTGCAGGTTGGATCCCCACTAGGGACTTTAGATTTGTTCATGTTAGGAAGCTACCTAGCTAGTTTACGAAATGTTTGTGGTTCTATTTAGGTGCTTGTTAATGCATGAAGTAACACTTGAGGTCTTTCTTCACAAGTAAAAACTGTAAAGTTGCCATATGACCTTATAGTGTGGATTTGACAGAAAAAACCCAACCGAAAAAAAAAGAATAAAAGTGTGTCTCATTTAATTGTATTTAGATTGATATTTTTAAGTAAATATGCCTTTGATATATTAACACATTTTGTATAGCGGTGAATGTGATAGTTCTTTTGACGATTCCTAAACAGTTATATGTGCATGTTTTTTTCAATTTACAAAAAAAAGCATTAATAGTATAAATAGGTTAATGCATTTTTTGTTTTTAGAATTCCAAGATGTGTTTGGAGATATGGAAATGCCTTGCCTTATGCCTCCAGAAATAAATATAAGCAATGAAGATTTAGCAAAGTTTCAACAGATGATATCAAATGCGTCAAATATTCCCTTGCCTTCAGATGATGATTCAATTGCAGGACGTACAGTAGACTAAAAAACGCAAAAGGTAAGAAATTTAAACCCCAGGAAAAAAAAAATTGTCAGGGGAAAAACAATTTTTTTGTCGTATTTCAACAAAAAGGGCCCGCCCCGCAGTTCTGAAATTTGGGGACCGATTCTTTGGGCACTCCCAATAGTGAAAAACTAGGGAAAACTACAACTGAAAAAATCTGATACCCCCCTCTAACAATCAGGCCCCAAAGGTTTTTGAAAAGGGGTTTGATAAAATTTGGGTTTGATATAGGGGAAACCAAAGAAAAAAAAAAAAATTTTGTGAATTTAAAAAACCCTGTTTGGTTTAAAAAAAAACAATTAAATTTCAGACAATAGAAAAGGGGCAATTTTCACCTAAATGGGAATGCCCAAATTTTTACCAAAAAGGGAAACAAAATCGCTAAATAAGGTGCAAGAAAAGCGCTACGAAATACAGGATTGATATTTCACAAAAGTGAGAATTCCGGAGAATTGGATGATGAAATGGAAATGGACACAAATGGTGACTTTGATTCTGGTGACTCTGATTCTAGTGACTCTAATAGTGATGCTAGCAATTCTACAACTGAAAAGTCTGATACACCTTCTAAGTTATCACCAAAAGGTTCTAAACGGTCAGGTTTAAAAAAAACCAAAGAGAAAAGAAAATTGTGTAAAGTAAATCAATCATTTGCTAAATCAAGTCCATCAAAAGCACATGATAGAGATGTCAGTTCCCAACCAAAAAGTACTGCAGTTGCCCCTAGGAAGCAAATTCCTTCTAAGGCTGCCAGAAAAAGCGCACCAAAAGCAGGATATGTCTTTAATGAAAGTGAGAGTTCAGAATTATCTGATGATGATATTGAAATTGACATGTCTTTAATTTTCATAACTGAAGGGGGGTGACTCTAATTTAAAAATACGGAATCTACTTAAATGAAATATCTAATACTTCCTCCTTTTAAACAATCAAACCACGGTTTTGAAAGTCAGATAAAGGGAAAATGAAGAAAAAAGAAAAATATGGGAAGTAAACAAAAAATGGGTTTTGGGAAATCCCAAAACAATTAAATCAGACAATAGAGGGTCCCAATTTCTATCACCTAAAATTTTAATTGCAATTGAACCAAGGAACAAAATTTCTACAAGGGGTGCAAGAAAAAGCGGGACGGGAAAAACAGGATTGATATTTCCCCGAAAGGAAAAACCAAAAAGAATTTGAAAGATGAAATTAAAAGGACACATATTTAGGGTCCCCCCTATTTTTTAAAACCAAAGAAAAAAGAGGGAAAAAATTTAACTTAAAAAATCCCCAAACCAAAGGAAAAACAAATTTGATTTGAAAAAATCTTAAAAAAAAAGCTCCTTCCCGAAACAGAAAGCATAAACAAAACCAGGGAAAAGGGGGGGATGCTTCTAAGAAAATTTGATGGGCAATTAGATGGTTTTGTTAAAAAATTGAAAAGGGTTTTAGGGAAAATAAAGGATTGATGGAACAAAAAACAAGACAAACATCAAAAAAATATATGGAAAATGAAGGGGTTTTATTATGAATTATACGGGGAAAAAAATGAAAATTTAAAATTCACTGGAAAAAAGTAGAATTTTATGTTTCAAAAGGGAAATTTACAGAGGAAATTTAATTTTAAGGAAACTTTTTGTTACCGTAAAACTTAAATGGTAGGCACAATTTTGAAATATTTTCATTTAGGATTTTTCATCACTTAACACAACTGATAAAAAAGAAAACAGATTTGTGAGGTTTTAAATTTAAAAAAATTTATTTAGGGTCAGCTGCTAGCCCTTATCATCCACCACAAGAAAAGGGCTTTTTTGACTGGGTACAAATTTTAGCAACAAAAAATTTGTCGAACTTCTAAAAGGGAAATTACAAGCAGGAAAAGATTTTAAGAAAAAAACGTGAAAAAAACATAGCTTATCTAAAACAAACAAGCATTTAAAAGGTAAACTTCCAAACTAAACCCCTTCTTCCCAAAGGAAACGGTTTTTGGGCAAGATCTTGAGTAAGAGCCCAAAACCACCAAAGTTCAACCCCAAAAAAGTTGCAAATTTCATTAAGGGTTTCACTGGTTTTTTGTTTCCCCTCCTAAACACAGTTAATGTGTGACCGGTTTTTTTGATAATGCCAATGTTCCAAAACACAGCTCAAATTTCCCCATTAACCCCTCTGGCCCACCCCGATTTATAGTCCAAATCCGCAAGTTTTAAATCCAACAACCCCAGGTTTTAGTCCAACTTCACCAAAACCCGTAAGATGGGCCCAGGGGACAGTATTTAAAACCCCCAGCTACCCTAAAAAAGTTTCCAAAAATCCCCCAAATTTTTAGTCCAAACCACAATTTTTAGTCCAACTTCACCAGCCCCTAATGGGTTTTCCCGGAGATGGGATTTTAAGACTTTCCCAAAATCATTCAAAAAAAGATCTTTGGAGTTTGCAAATGATCAAAACAAAACCAGATGCCCAAATTAATACTTTAATAACGCAAAAAATTTGAGACACAAAAGGGTTTTATGGAAAAGGGCTCGGGCTTCTAAAACAATAACAAAAAACTACCCCCAGAATTTTTTTTCCCCCCAAAAATTCCTCCTTTTTATCCCTTTTTCCAAAAGCGAATTTTCTAATTTAAAACCCTTCCCAAATTCAATGGCTTTTCATATATTGGTAATCAAAATAAACCAACTACACACAGTCAACCTCCTGCATATTCCTATGCTCAGAATTCTTCTTTTGTTAACACATCAGATGCTATGTCGTCTAGAAATATGAATATAAAGTGGAGATCAAGAAGTATAGATAGACAAAGAAGGTCAAGGAGTAGATCTTTAAAGGGGAGATCAAGATTTATGTCTGGACAAAGAAAGGTCAAGTGAGTAGATCTTTAGAAGCGTGAGAAATCAAAAGTTTAGATAGAATTTAAGAAGGTTTCAAGGAGCAGATCTTTAAAGAGGAGATCAAGAATTATGTCTGGACAAAGAAGGTCAAGGAGTAGATCTTTAGAGCGGAGATCAAGAAGTTTAGATAGAATAAGAAGGTCAAGGAGCAGATCTTTAAAGAGGAGATCAAGATTTATGTCTGGACAAAGAAGGTCAAGGAGTAGATCTTTAGAGCGGAGATCAAGAAGTTTAGAGCTATAATAAGAAGATCATAGGAGCAGATTCTTTAAAAGAGGAGTAAAAAAGAATAAGCTCTAGACAAAGTAAAGTCAAAGATTTAATTTTCTAATAAATCGGAGCTCAAGAGAAGTTTAGATAACAAAGATGGTCAAGGAGTAGATCTTTAAAGTGGAGATCAAGATTTATGTCTAGACAAAGTAGTCAGAGTAGATCTTTAAAAAGGAGACAAAGTTTATAAGACAAAGTAGTCAAGGGTAGATCTTTAAAAGCAGAGATCAGACCAAATTTTAGCCTTTGAGACAGAGTATGTCAAAAGAAGCAGATCCCTTTAATAAGCAGGAGGATCAAAGATTAAATGTCTAGTACAAAGTAAAGGTCAATGAGGTACGATCTTTGAAAAGCAATCAAGAAGTTTTAAGTTAGGTCAAGAAAGAAATATTTTTCAGACTATCAGGAAAGTTAGATCTCTACGGATCCACAAGGAGATTTTGGATTAAAAGATTAAGAAATAGATCAATAAGTCGATCAAGAAGTAGGTCAAGAAGTAAATCTTTCATTAGAAGATCAAGAAGTAGATCACTCAGAACATCAAGAACAAAGCTAAGAAGTAGATACATGATTCAAAAATCAAGAAGATGGTCAAGAAGTAGATCTTTCGACAGAAGATCAAGAAGTAGATCACTTAGAAGATCAAGAAGTAGGTCAAGAAGTAGATCTTTCATCAGAAGGTCAAGAAGTAGATCACTTAGACGATCAAGAAGTAGGTCAAGAAGTAGATCTTTCATTAGAAGATCAAGAAGTAGATCACTTAGAAGATCTAGAAGTAGGTCAAGAAGTAGATCTTTCATCAGAAGATCAAGAAGTAGATCACTAAGACAATCTAGAAGTAGATCTTTCATCAGAAGTTCAAGAAGTAGATCTCTTAGACGATCAAGAAGTAGGTCAAGAAGTAGATCTTTGAGTCAAAGATCAAGGAGTAAATTACAGCCACGTAATACTGTATGGCAAGGAATACTGTGTTGGAACATGATATATGGTTTGAAATACCTATATTCAGGCCTTAGAAGATGTTTTAAGGTAAATTTATGTGATAAAGAATTATTTATTGACTAGATATATTTCTTATAAGTTCTTCTTTCTTTTATCTGTGTAGATTATGGATTGTATACTTGCAATACCTGGATTCGAACCTTTCCTTATCTACATTATATAAAAAAACGGTTCTAGGTTTAAGTCTAAACAACTCGCAGGAGCTTAAACAAGTTATGTATCAACAGGACACTTCGTCCAAAATTATCATATGTTACATAGAATTCAACAATTTGTGTTAATGAGAAAATAGATACTTTGTAAAATGATGGTTAACGTCAAGAAATTTTTAAGTTACTCAATATGGAACAGAATTAGTGCATTTATTCCATCTTGCTTTATGATATTGGGACTTACCATTATGCTTGCTTCATATACTTTCTTTTGACAATGAAAACCTGCGTTTTGCTGAATTCAATCATGCCTTATTATACTGAATGCACTTTCATGTAATTGCAACCTTATGTATTCCCTACTAAACCATCAAACTCACATCTTTTAATTATGCTTATATGTTTAATTTGCATCTTTTATAAAGCATCAACGTATTATGTATTGGTGTTTAAGATAACATTCTTTTGCTTGTTCTTGATTATAACTAAATGTCAACATGGGTATAGTTTCTGTCACAGTACCTTTAATTTGCCTTATATGTCCGACATTATGTCACAATAAATTATTAATTTTGATCCAATAATGGCGAATTTGATGTGTCTTAGCATTCATATGCTTCAATATATTCACTGAATTACAATATAATGCAATATAGGATCACTGCGCATCAAAACGAAGATGCACAACGATAGCGATATTATAGTCGCATGTGACAGTACGCACTAAGCAGTGGCAGTAAGCATTAATGCGAGTTGCAATAAATTTGTGTTCGTATATATGAACATCAGGTGTCGCTTTATCGCGTACATCCCGTTATTTTCCGGGATGATCCCGTATTTTGGCACGTTGGAGTAAAAACAAAGTTTTAACTTCCCCTTTATACAGGGGCGGTCATACAGAACAGTGTTAGTTGGAGACTTGACATGTAAAGGAAAATTTACTGGAAACAAGAGAACACGATGCGGAACAGACGAAAAGTGCATGTTTTTGAATATTCCGCCAGCATGTGAAAAAAAATTGTTATAGATTTCTCTAATAACTCATCCTACAAGTGGCAACTCACCTCTTATTATAATTGTTTACATTTTCTTTTTGGGCGTTGTGATAGTCGTATGAGCAATAGTGAAATTGAATTTTAAAGATATACTATGCTCAAACTTACTATGTGGCACCAAAGGCTGACATGTGTGTGTTTTTATTTATCTCTTGCGCACGAGATACTTTGTCGTGGCCACGGGTTACAAAGTCGTGACCATAGAGAAGTTAAGTCGTGGGAACGATTTGATGAATACAATGTGGCCACGAGTTACTTAGTCGTGGCCACGAGATAATTAAGTCGTGGGAACGAGATGACAAAGTCGTGGCCACGGAGAGGAATAAGTCGTTTTGGAACAAGTTACTATGTCGTGGCCACGAGAAAGTTTACGGTGGCCACGAGAAAGTTTAAGTCGTGCGAACGAGATAAATAACCAATCAAATTACACTAATTTATATGAATTTTCCTAACAGGATGAACCCCTACTTCTCCTGTCCGTATAAGTACCATTCATACAAGTTATTGCATTGGTCAAAGATTTAGCGTTCATTGTGACCCTGATTTCTGACCAAATTGCCTAAACATTATTAGATGTCATCTACTGAATCTTTTTAGGTTATATAAACTACAGCTTATTTACTTTTCTAAATTCATTCATCGATTAGACAATGATTTTACATTGAAGTGCTGCATGTTTGTCTGACCCCGTGACCTCAAACATCCTCATAAGGATATTCTACTGTCCATGGGCCAATGTCCCTACCCAAATAAAATAAACCAGGACTAAGTCCCTCTCAAATGTTAACAGGCCGTTTGTACGTACAAAATGACCATTTCTATCATAGAATTTTTCCAAACAAAGGGCTATAACTAAGTCAAAATTAATGTATGGTTTTATGGGCCTGCATGATCCTTAAGACATGTATTCAAGTTCAAAGTGAACACTTCAGTATTTTCAAAAATTTAATGTTGCGCGTAAATCTTTAAACAGAAATTTTTCTAAGTTTAGAAAAATCATGGTGTAATCTGATTTAATTATTTTCGTCCTGCACGACACAGCTTATCTCGTTCACCACGACTTAAACATCTAGCTAACTCGGTGGCCACGACTTTTAGTAGTTGTACCCAGTACAAACTTGATTTTTATCTGTAAATAAAATTAAGATATAATTTGTATGGCTTCATTACCAAATATTGTGCTTTCAATTCCTTTACACGTAAGTGGGCAGTATGAATATTCCGGTAAACGTTTAGTTGTTATTACAAAAAAATATATGGAAAAGTTTCTTTTAAAGACAGACACAAACTTTACTTTGACCCGTAATAAGTAAAGCAGATTCCTATACATTTATGTGTAATGTGTTTTTTATTTTAAATAAAACATATTTAGGTAAAGAATTTTTTTAGTTTCAATAAATTTCTTGTTGATAAAACTATTTACTGAAACGATGTGCATAGTATATCATTAAGCCACAAAATGTATGTGAAATGTGGTGGTGTGTGCGGATGTCTGATCTATAATCAGACACACATTATAACCGGTTACCGTTGGGGCCTAGTGCGTAAAGGCGTCCGCCTTCGGATCGGCAGAGGTCGAAGGTTCGAGCCCCACGGGAATGTTTTAATTGAAGGATGAATGTTTCTCGTGGGACTCGTTTCCCGAAATGGGGGGGCCGCTTCGGTTGCAGCCGCGAGGTAGTTAAAATTGAATGGTTACCCGATTTCTTATCCGCCTGGCGCCTGGCATACTGATAGGAAATTGGGAGGTTACATGGTATGCAAGCAAAAGGTGTCTCATAAGTCAAATGGGCTGGCTCCTTTCAGTAGGGGTGACACCTATAATAAACAAGACCTTTACCTTTACCTTTACCATATGCCCCCCAACATTTGAGCCGCGTCACGGACAAAACCAACATAATGGTTTGCGACCAAACATGGATCCAGACCCAGCCTGCGCGTCCGCACAGTCTGAATCAGGATCCATGCTGTTCGCTTTCCAACCCTTTTTAACCCAAGTAGAGAAACTGGGTAGCGAACAGTCTGGGATCCTGATCAGACTGTGGGACCGCGCAGGCCTGGTCTGAATCCATGCTGGTCGCCAAACCCATTATGGGTTGGTTTTTGTCGTGACGCGGCTCATTTGTAATTGACTATGCACATGCTACAAAAATAAACAATTCCTTTCTTTCCTTATTATACATGTATATTTTTAAATGCGTTACATACCTATTCGCCACTACTAGTGACTCTGAGACATTTAAATTAAGTTAAAAGGCCAATAATTTTTGCTTTTTTTAATGTCCCAAGTCATTAGATAAGACCTTCGCAGTACCTAGGCAGGTGCTAGACAACTGGATGACAGCAATCAATTGTTTTGGTAAGGGAGTTACACTTTAAGAAGACTATTGCAATGAAACTGACAGTATATATTCCACGTATTATTTGGCGGTAGGTGCAGCCCTTAAGCCAGGGGCCTGAAACCGCCCACTGGACTGTACGTGTTAACTGCCCTAATATTTTGCATCACACTTTTTTTACGCCCGCATATTTTTTGTGTGCGCCTCCTTTACGGGAGTTAAGTGGCGACATATATAGGGATTCAACTTCTCCGTCGTTCTGTCTGTCCGTCTGTCCGTCTGTCTGTCTGTCTGTCTGTCCTGTCCGTCTGTTCCGTTCCGTCCGTCACAAAACTTGTCCGGACTACTCAATCATAAACCCTTACTGGTTTGCAATTTCATTCCAAACTTTACAGGAATGATCCAGTACCAAGTCTAGTTGTGCATATTGTCAGGATTTTCCGGTTCAATGTATTTTTGTCAGAGTTATGGCCTTTAATAATTTTTAATTTTAAAGTTTGTCCGGACTACTTCTCTTATACCCACTAATGCAATTTCAATGAAACTTTACAGGATTGATCTGGTAGCTCCAAGTTCCTTGCGCATATTGCACGGGTTTTCCGGTTGAATGATTTTTTTGGCTGAGTTATGGCCCTTTGATAAAAAGGTTTCTTTTTCTGTGTGTTGCCAGATACACAAAAAGCTTTGTCCGGACTACTCCTCATAAAACTACTGGTTGCAATTTCATCCAAACTTTACAGGAATTTGTCAGTACCAAGTCTAGTTGTGCATATTGTTCAGCAATTTTCCGGTTCAATGATTTTTGTTTGAGTTATGGGCCCTTTTTAATAATTTTTATTTTTAAAAGTTTGTCACACTACTTCTCTTATACCACTTATGCAATTTCAATGAAACTTTACAGGATTGATCTGTAGTTCAAGTCCTTGCGCATATTGCACGGGTTTTTCCGGTTGAATGATTTTTGGCTGAGTTATGGCCCTTTGATAAAAAAGGTGTTTTTTTCTGTGTGTTGCCAGATACCGCAATAAGCTTGTCCGGACTACTCCTCATAAAACTACTGGTGCAATTTTATCCAAACTTTACAGGGATGATCAGTAACAAAGTTGTTAGTCTAGTTGTGCACTGTCCGTCTGTCTGTCCATCTGTCACAAAATTTGTCCCAACATGAAAATTGGCCATCATGAAGCGCGACACATGTGATTACTGATCGCTCTTGTTTCTTTTAGACTGTATACATATATAAAATTATATTGCATAATCCTTTACTACTTGTATTTATATTCTTTCAACTGCAATGTATGTATTAAACGCTTAGTACGTATTTATATATACATGTACGCAGTATCTATACGGAAAATTTTCCGATGATAGGCGAATCGTGGGAAAAAATTCCGTTGACATCGATAACAGAGTTTCTCGCCCTTAACAGTACATAGTTTTTAATTGTTTATCATAATGTAGATGATCAAAACATTATCCCATAAAGCCTCAGACACTGAGCTTTTATTAAGCATAAACACTGCATAATGGATATAAGCGAAAGCTAATAGTAATCACGCCATGCGAGCTATAAGTCATATTTTTAAAAAATCCATCAGGGAACATTAAATAGTTAATTTTAAATGACTTATACATAAAAGTAATACAGAAAAACTAAACCGTAAATGGTTTGTATAGAGCATGAAGAAAGGTAGCTTATGCATAAAGGTATATGACATTAACATTATAGTATTCCAAATGGCTTGTTCCAGTTTATTAGTTATCACCTCAATGAAAGAATTGGTGACTACGAAATGTTTGAATGAAATAACGAAAAATGGAAACCAGCATAAATGCAAAGTTTAAATATCATAAAGCAAGATGGAATCAAGCATAATGCAAGTTCTAATGTCATGTAGCAAGATAGAATTAAGCATAATGCAAGTTCCAATGTCATCAAGCAAGATGGAATCAAGCATAATGCAAGTTCCAATGTCATCAAGCAAGATGGAATTAAGCATAATGCAAGTTCCAATGTCATCAAGCAAGATAGAATAAATGCATTAATTCTGTTCCATAACTCAAAGAAGGGCAAAGTTCTGTATTGGACATGTTCGGCATTTAACTTCTGTATGTATATCATCCATCACGACAACAAGTTGCATTTTACTTTAGTCTACCTCTGAACCATATGCTTAATATGAGCTTTTGCCATTATCATTTTTTCAATGGCTTTAAACATTTATTTATATAAAATCTTTGACAGGACTTTACAGGACTTTGGCACTCGCAACCAAACTTTGTAGGAATAGTCTGTGGATTGTCCCCTTTCAAAGTTGTTGCCATTGCATCCTATATGAAAACTTGAAAAAATAACTTTTTGTCGAAACCCACAAGGTTTAGAGCCTGCACATTTAGTGTGCAGCACTGAATTAAAGCACTAGTCCCAAGGGGGTCAGTTTTCCTTAAATACTTAATATTTGACCCAATTGCCAATGGCACAATAACGTAACCCAAATGTAGCAAATTGACCCCCTTAACGAACTGTGAATTTTTAGCAGTTAATCTCAATATTCGTACATCTAAAATATCCAATCTATTTACTTGAAACTTAAGTATACATATTCACAGTTAATTTGTATCATCATTTTTGCGTTGCCTTCAAAAAGGTGACATATAGGGGGTTACTTTTGTCTGCGGTGGCGTTGTCGGTGTCGGCGTCCCCTTAAGCTTATCCGGAGCATATGTCAGTCATTATAAGTCGGATTAACTTCAAACTTGGTAAACATGCTTCTTATCATGACCAGAAGTTCAGTGCACAAGAACTGGTACTCTGTACTTCTTAATTTTTGAGTTATTGCCCTTTGTTAATTTTCATACTTTATTTTTGTTTGGGCCATTTCTCCTAATGTTTAAAAGCTATGGACTTGAAACTTCATAGGATGATAGATCTCATTAAGAAGAAGTGCAGTGCACAAGAACCGGTGCTCTGCACTTCTTATTTTTTGAGTATTTGCCCTTTGTTAATTTTCATACTTTATTTTTGTCCGGGCCATTTCTCCTAATGTATAAAAGCTATGGACTTGAAACTTCATAGGATGATAGATCTTATTGATAAGAAGTGCAGTGCACAGAAACTGCTGCTCTGCATTTCTTATTTTTTGAGTTATTGCCCTTTGTTAATTTTCATATTTCATTTTTTCCTGGCCATTTCTCTTAAACTGTATTGTTCACAAGGCGACAAATCTGACTTGCGGAGTTCTAGTGTTTGCAGAATTTCCCTCTTTTCTAAAACAATGTCAAGCAGCGAGAATAGTGAAATGTGCAAACCACAAACAGGGTTTCTTGTAAATAGATTGGAACTTTGTGTATAACAAAATTTAAGATTATACTTCAAGCTTATTTCTTTTTATTCAGGTGGATGAAGACTCAACCCCTGAAAAGCCACTCTACTACTTTGAACTTTCGCGTGAGTTATGCAAATCATTGATTGGTGTTAGCAGACGGCAGATTGTTGATAGACTTCTTTCTCTTGGTGTAAAATCTCTAGGTAAGCCTAGAATGCTTAAAACAGTTAATTTATGTGCTGAAGAAGTGTTTTTATGCCACCGCAGCATCTGCGATGCGGTGGCATATAGCGATTCACCTGTGTGTTTGTGTGTGTGTGTTCTATAGATTATATAGTGAACTTAAAAAATCTTCTTGTGAAAAACCACTAGTCCAATTTCAACCAAACTTGGCAGAATTGATCCTTGGGTGAAGGGCTTCCAAAGTTGTTCAAAGAATTTCATTCCATACAGAAGTCTGGTTGCCATGGCAACCAAAAGGAATTATAAGAATAAATTAAAAAAATCTTCTTGTAAAGACCCAAAAGGCCTAGAGCTTAAATATTTTGCATAAGGCATTGTCTGGTAGACCTCTACCAAGATTGTTCAAATTATAGCCCTGGGGTCAAAATCGGCCCCGCCCCGGGGTTCATTGATTTTCACTATATGTACATATAGCAAAACCTTAAAATACCTTCTTGTAAAGACCCAAAAGGCCTAGAGCTTAGATATTTTACATAAGGCATTGTCTGGTAGACCCTTACCAAGATTGTTCAAATTATAGCCCTGGGGTCAAAATCGCCCCGCCCCGGGGGTCAATTGATTTTCACTATATGTACATATAGTAAAAAACTTAAAATACCTTCTTGTAAAGACCCAAAAGGCCTAGAGCACTTAGATATTTTGCATAAGGCATTGTCTGGTAGACCTCTACCCAGATTATTCAAATTATAGCCCTGGGATCAGAATCGGCCCCGCCCCGGGGGTCATTGGTTTTCCTTATATGTATATAGTAAAAACTTATACATGTAGTAAAAACTTTAAAAAAAATCTTCTAGTAATTGACAAATGCTAGAGGTTAGATCTTTTGCATTATGTAGTGAACTTCTAGCAAGATTGTTTAAATTACAGCCCTGGGGTCAAAATTGCCTTTTCCCCGGGGGTCATTGATTTTCAATATATACATAATAGTAAAAAAATAAAAAAATCTTATTGTCTGAAGGTACAAGGCTTAGTGTTGTATTAATGCGGTGGCATAGCATTTTTCTCAAATGCAATCTTGTTTCTTTGAGTGTCACAAGGTAAGAAAAATGTGTAGCCTGTCGGAGACTCGAACTCAGGATCCTCGGAATACCGTTCCGAGGCTCTACGGACTCCCAACTATCCAACCGCTTACACATCTCTTCTCAATAGGGAAAATTTCTGGACCATGACATAACCAATGGCTTATGAAACAACGTTTTTAAGAAGTTATTTAAACACAGGTCTATGTTAAAGCTTTAATTGCTAAGTAAAAATACACATTTAGGCATTCAAAATTGCTAGAAACATGTTAGAAAGCGATTTTCAAAAATGAGTTTATATATGTCTTTGCTATTTTGTCTAAGATGATTTGCAACTAGTACTTTGCATTCATTTATCTTTCAATGTCAAATGTGAAACTTATATTTTAAGCTGGCTAGAATCATGATCCAGTGTGAGGTATTGTGATAGGAGTGTCTGATACGTCGTGTCGTATGCAATAATAATGAATAATAATTTCTTAATCTGATCAGATTTATTTTTTTCTTTAAACTTTCTGTGTAGCATTTATTCAGTCTGAAGAGGATAATTTATATTTCATAAAATTTTCTTAATATGAAAATTTGGCCGATCCTTTTATTATGAGAACACCAGAGCTTGTCATTTAAACTATTAGATGGATCATCATAACAAAGTACGTCTTTTTAAGATTACAGTGTTTAAAAGGGTCTTATAAGAGAGCTCAAATAAGACCGATTAAAGTCCTCCAGACTTGTCCCTTGAGTGAAAAAAGTTAATGACCAAACTTATATTACCCTAATTGTTTCCAACATTTCTTTTTTTAATGGAATAAAGCCTTCTCATTTAATTATGTTGTTTTCATTACAGGAATAAAGACTGAGGAAAATGTGCACTGTGTAATCGCTAGTCTATTAGCTTTGATTACCTTGGTCAAGAAGGCTTGGGAGAGGCAACATGGGAAATCTTTGATCTTGACGTCAGAAAGTGTTATTAACTATACAGTTAAAGACGGAAAATTAACAATTACTATTGACGGCATAAATGCAACTCTGGATAAAGATATATCGGACGATTTTTACAATGGACTTATCAATTGGTTAGAAAAGAAGGAAAAGGAGTTACCGCCATTATATAACTGTTTAGAGTTGGGGAAAACAAGAATGGATTTCCTGTCAAATCTTTCTTATATATTAGACATTCCTTATAAAAGAAAGCAAACTTTGTGAACAGATAAAAGAATTGGATAAAACATTGTCAAACTGTTTGATCTTGAACGATTATTTCAATTTTCATATACCATTGCCCCAACGAACAATTTACATTGTAAGTAGTTGTATATTTTTGCTTATATAATGTAGGAGTAATAAGTGTTAAAAAGTGTGCATTTGTCAAAGCAATACTTCAGAATATTCATGGATGTTACCAACATTGTTGTTTTATGTTTCGATAAATATATTTGCTTGTTATATTTTTCGTATATTTGTGATTGACATTAAAAACAGTAATGTTTAAATAAGTGGGTATTGCACAGTGAAATGTTCTTAAAATTGGTTATAATTTAAATATAAATCGTGTACACACAGAATGATACTAAAAGTTAGAAATAACGAAATGTTTTGTTTCTGTTCCTGTTCTTTCCTGAGTATTTTAATTTTGTTTTAAGTGTTTTATGAATTATAACACATTTTCACTTGTTAGATTATTCGGATCTCTGTATGATTTTTGTATATACCAGGGTTGTTTGAAAAGTAAGCCCAGTACATCCTGGCGTTATAAAAACTGGTCCTTGGAATACTAACGGCTGCCAGAGGTATAAAATTACATTCATGTACTAATGAAAATGACATGTGTAATGATGTGGTTCTCCTACATTTTTTACTAGTTAGTTAATTAGTATGCAGTTTAGTTTTTGAATGACCCACATAACTTGTGTAAATACTTTTTGTAGTGACTTGTGATTAGAGAATTGTGATATAATGAACGCTGTGATATTTATAATTGCGACTTACCAATCATGTATAGACAGGTGTTCATTTGCAGTCATTTGAAAACTCTGACCAAATACGGTACTGTCGTACGACAAATGCTTACTAATGAACACTACACTAATCAATTTTGTGTTTGAAATTATTTTAATAAATAATGGATTTATTAGACTAATAAACCGCCAATTTACGAAAGTAAATTAGTTGCGATTCATTTGAAATACTACAATCCTATTGGACAATAATGGTTTCAAACACAAATGTACATTTATAAACCTTTTCCGCTCTTTTTAAAGAATGCTGGACTCATAAGTCATTTTTTTCAAATTTTCGGCATCTTTTGGTTGATAAGGAAACAATATCTCTGGACGAATTCAGTAATTGATACTGCACCTATTTTCTAACTTCTTTACTTAAAGTTTTGTTTATTCTGATATGACATGAATCGACTTTTTATACCCCCGCACAACAAAGTTGTAAGGGGGGTATACTGGAATCAGCTTGTCCGTCCGTCCGTCCGTCGGTTTTTTCTTGTCCGCCCAATAACTTAAGATTCCTTTGACCCTTAGTCTTCATATTTGGCATGGAGGTTAGTCATGATTAGTAGATGACCCCTATTGATTTTGAGGTCACTAGGTCAAAGGTCAAGGTCACAGGGGCCTTGACTTCAAAAAGCTTGTCCGCCCAATAACTTAAGATTCCTTTGACCTACAGTCGTCATATTTGGCATGGAGGTTAGTCATGATTAGTAGATGACCCCTATTGATTTTGAGGTCACCAGGTCAAAGGTCAAGGTCACAAGGGGCCTTGACTTCAAAAAAGCTTGTCCGCCCAATAACTTTAGATTCCTTTGACCTACAGTCTTTATATTTGACATGGAGGTTAGTTCATGATTAGTAGATGACCCCTATTGACTTTGAGTTCACCAGGTCAAAGGTCAAGGTCACAGGGGCCTTGACTTCAAAAAGCTTTTCCCCCCTATTACTTAAGATTCCTTTGACCCACAGTCTTCATATTTGGCATGGAGGTTAGTCATGATTAGTAGATGACCCCTATTGATTTTGAGGTCACCAGGTCAAAGGTCAAGGTCACAGGTGCCTTGACTTCAAAAAGCTTGTCCGCCCAATAACTTAAGATTCCTTTGACCCACAGTCTTCATATTTGGAATGGAGGTTAGTCATGATTAGTAGATGACCCCTATTTGTTTTGAGGTCACCAGGTCAAAGGTCACACAGGGACTTTGACTTCAAAAAGTTTGTCTGCCCAATAACTTAAGATTCCTTTGACCCACAGTCTTTCATATTTTGGCATGGATGTTTGATCATGACTATTAGATGACCCTCTATTGATTTTGAGGTCACTGGGTCAAAGGTCAAGGTCACAGGGACCTTTTTGACAAAAAAACAAACCTTTTCTTCTCAATTGCTAAAGAATGTTCCTGTCCGCAATGTATTGATTTTTGACATTTTTCACATTTGCACATTTGCAAGCATGTAGAATACATAACTTAGCAATGCACTGGCTTTATTAAGTAACCTCAGATTTGGCAGGGAGGTTGTCCTTGAGCTCTAAATGGCCACTGTTGATTCTGACAAAGTGGTATGCGGGGGTATTCACGCCATGATAGTGGCAGTTCTAGTTTATTTAGTTTTAAAACTAAAATCTGAAAAAAGGAGATTTTTTTAATGAAATATAATTCTATACAGCTAACCTGTCAATTGTGTGTTTGAATTAAAAAAAAAGTCATTTCTGATAGTTAATATATTTTTAATTTCATGTGTTTATTTGTTTTTGTTTTTTATTTTATTTTTGTTTTTGTTTGTTTGTTCGATTATTTTAGGGGAGAAATTTTCCCTTTTCTATAGATTATGTAAACCAAACTTGATTATCATTAATCTTAACTTCTTTAGTGTTGCCTAGCTTAAAACCCTAAACCCGAGGGCTATTTTAAATTATTGTTATCGGTTTGATTGTTAACCCAAAGAATTGAAACATCTATTGTCATGTTTTAAAATATTTGAGCCATTTTGATTGTTTTACAAAGTTAGTGTTAACTCACATAATTGAAACATCCATTGTCATGTTTTTAATTATTTGAACCGTTTTGATTGTTTTACAATTAGTTAGTGTTAAATCAGAGAATTGAAAATCCACTGTCATGTTTTTAATTATTTTTTATCGTTTTGATTGTTTTACAAAGTGAGTGTTATCTCACAGAACTAACACATTCACTGTCATGTTGCAGAGTATTTTATCTTTTTAACTTGGAAACTTTGTCGGTGACCTGCAAAAGTTTGCTTAAAATTTTCTATTATTATATTCTAAGATTAAATTTCTATTGATATACTAGCTTTCTATATTTGTATCTTCTATATACTTGTTTGTTACTATAGAATATGCCTTTAGCATTGATACCTTTAGCATTGAAATAATAAAGATGAAAAAAGTAATTATTTGTTTGACTTTGCATATTTCCTCGCGTTTATTGTCCATCTTGAAAATAGCATGCTAGCATTTTTTTAGTTAAAATACTTTTCCATTATTTTTTCAAAAGGAAAAACGCGAAGACCGTCCAACATAACATACATGTAATTTAAAATAATGAAGACTCGATTAAATCGAGTGTCTTCATCGAAGTTTAAACAATGAAATGACAAGTAATGATTACTGTCAAGCACCCCTACAGCTGTGAATTCAAATCCCATCATTGACTATGAAGTTATCCAGTTAGCTCTTGGAAAGCCGGTGGCTCTACTGAGGCACCCACCCATGCCTATAATAAAAGTGGCAGGTGATGTCTTCTACCATGTCACCATATGACCATTACAGTGTCTTATAAAACAAATACAAAAACAAACATAAATAGATTTATATTTTATGTTGGTGTGATACACGATTCAGTGAACATTATATACTAGTATCCGATTTCTTTTTACTTTCACATTAGTCAGTGTTAGTTATTTACTCGGCCTATACTATTGAGCAAATATTAAAATCTGCATCTAAATCCATGCGAGATTCTCCACTTTCTTTTTGGTATTGCTCGAGTAGAGATTTCATAACTTTATCGTCATCATAATTATATTCTTGAGTGGCGCTTTGCATTGATTTAAGCCTGGTTGTTAAGCTTTTAAGGTATTGTCTCAAAAACAGTTCAGAAAAGGAGGGAGGCACAACTGTAGGTCCCCAAAGTCTCCATGCAACTAGACTGGGAAGTTCCGTGTCATACTCGTATGTATAAAGTTGATCTAAAATCTCCAAAAGGCATGGTCCGAGTTTAATATTTCCTGTCTGTTTACAACCATAGTGATGAATTATCATTACGGATTTTATCACATACGAGGTGTAACAGGACATTGACTTGTCTTTGTAAACATCTTCAGCGCTGTGGCCATTGATCAGGCGTTTTAGGATTCTATACACTTTCTTGTGTTTCATTGAAAGTATATTTCCCATAAAATAAGCTTCAGTTTCTGTGAAAGAGTAGTTGTCTTTCACATACAAGAAACTTCCGGTTGACAATATTTCCCTTTCGAATGGCCTCACTTCACATATTTTACTTACAGTTGTTATATGTCCTATCTCTGTAATGTAAGTTCGTCCGGCTGGGACAAGGTCAACATTTATACATTTCTTATCTCCTATGTTATTGGTGTAAATAAAATGCAGCCACGTGGCTGGCCCATGTTCTTCAAAATACTCTTCAAATTCAATTTTTTGTTTCGAATTAGAGGAACTTTTATACTTAAGACTACGCCTATTTTGATTACACACTTTCTTTATGACATCTGTTACAGGAAAATAATCAAACACAGCACATTCCGTTGTCTCGTAATAACAAAATAGTATGTCAAATTCATCAGGAAAAGTATTTTTTGTTCCCTCATAAAAGCTTCCAACTTTAATGATATCAGAACTACGAAGAACAGTTACTGGTACCTCTTTATTTCTGCGTAAGGTCTCCAATACGTCATTTACAATTCTTTGAACAAAATTTTCTATTCCATTTTGGATGAACTGTACCTCGCACGACTCTATTTTAAATACACATTCCTTTTCATAGACATCATTAAATATAACTCCAGGTTATCTTGATCACTCATTCTAGAATTCAGTATCTTTATGTCCTTTCAATAACTGCCGAAAAAGTAAGTTTCCCTTACATTTATAACTGAAATATTGAATAAAACTGCCAACAAACTCGCTTAAAGGAATAGGAATGGATGGATTGATGTCTGTCTAATATAAATATTCATCATTAAAAAAGAGGAACCATGACAGTTTTCCTATTGACATCAACCCTATAAGAGAGAAATTCGTGTTTTAAGACACTATTTTTTACTTGAGAAATAAGTTCATGGGCGCCGCCATTTTGGCGTTCTGTCATTCTCGCGAGACATACGAGACCGAGATTGTGACGTGTAATACCCACTTCCGGTATAGGTGTATACGCTGGTACAACTGAAATATATCTTGATGAAGAACTTATTAATTTTATTGCGTACATTATATATTATTTATGAAAACATCATATGGAACTGAATTGCTTTAATTAATTAATTGAAGACGCCGCGACATTAATTATTATTTCTCCGATATTCAATTAAGCTTGCTGATGATCCCACCACATGATTTAAGCAATGACTGCTTAATTTTCAAAGATAAACCATAAATTTAATTTGGGTACTATGGGAAACTTCTTCAAATTGACGATATATCCTTTTATTTTGTACTTAATTTTCGCTAGACAAGCTGTCCAAATAGGGTACATCGTCGGTCGTGTATCTTTTTTTCAGGTAAAATACCAACTAAACCCAATATATATCTACTTACCAAATTCCTTTCCCCGACAGATACGCATTCCTACTACCATAAATTTAATCCAATAAAACAAAAAAAAATCATAAATCTACTTAATATTTAAAATGATTATTGGTAACTGAAAAAAATGTGTTGCTACTTTATGACGTGCTGTAATTTACTACAGTATAATTTGACAGGTGTGGAACATAATTCCCCCTAAGGTCATTCAGTTCACTGATGAAGCGTAAAAAAATAGATGTCTATTTCGTCATTAGAATATTTGACAAGGGTGATTAACCAATCAGGGCAACATTGTGCATGATCAAAAGGTCTGTCGGCACAGAGGCATACAAGGAGCAATAAAAATCGTCAGTACACAGTGTGACAGGAGCATTTGGTGCAAATTAGGAACAATTAAAATGGACAATGCGCAGTATTAGACATAAGTAGTAAGAACCAGCAATTGTGTGAATAAATTATGCAAATAAGACTTTTGAGCAGCCAATAAAAATGATTTGCCTGCAGTTAATATTAGGCTACGATTACGATGCGCAGCATCATACGTTGACAGACATGTTAACAATTTACTTTTCAAAAGAGTTGCTTATATTTTTGAAATGTGTACATCAATTATAACATATGTTCACAC